AAGGGCACTTGGACACTGAGCCACATCCCCAGACCTATTTTGTATTTTATTTAGAGACAAAGTCTCAATGAGTTGCTTAGCATCTCACTTTTGCTGAAGCTGGCTTTGAACTCAGGATCTTCCTGTGTCAGCCTCCCAAGCCACTAGGATGCCACCATACCCAGCGTCTTCTTCATCCCCTCAGAAGCTCACACCTCCTACCCTGGTGATCCCAGACAATGAAAATCAGGCCCCTACCCCAGGAAAGACCAGAGGCTCGCTAAAAGAAGATGGCACAGGACAGCCTGTGGAAGTTCAAGAGTGAGGTGTCCTGTTCTATCCTTTTTATCATCCCCACCTTCTCAATCTCTGCAAAAAGAAGGAGGGATGCCAAAGTGTCATTTGGGAGGAGTTGCTGCAGTTGTGGTAAGAATTATACATCTGAGAAGGCTTCCATGAGCAAATTGAGAAATGAACTGGCCCTGAGGTAGGTCTGTTCCTTAAGAGGCAATAGATTCAGGGCAAGAGTCGACATGAAAGCAGAAAAAATTACAAAACCAGAGCTCTGTCTAAACTGGGTGTAATGGATGAATCAGGTAGCTCAGGACAGGGGAAAAAGAGCTCCCACATAGCTGGGAAGCTTACAACTCAGTACAGTGCTGAGGTGGTGGCAGCTTTAATACAACAAATGTGTTGGACTGGAAAATTCCCTGAATTTTTATTAGATGTAAATTAAATTTTTATAAATTTTATCTTTTAATAGAAAAATATTTGACAATCCCTAGACCTGTTATGACTGTGGTTTCTGAATATTTTTCCTGTTGGTGTAAAGTTTTTTGTTTTTTATTTTTTTTCGTTGTAGATGATCTTTATTTTATTTATTTATATGTGATGCTGAGAATCAAACCTAGTGCCTCACACATGCCTGGCAAGCACTCTACTACTAAGCCACAACCCCAGCCCTGGTGTAAGTTCTAAAGGGGAAAATGAGAGAGAAATAAGTGAACTGGATTCTTGTTCTGTTCTGCCCTCCCTAGGGAACACTTCTCAGATACCAGGAGGAGACTAGAGGGAGGAGAGGGAGAGGAGGAGCTGCCTATATTCTTTCCCAGCTATGAATCTGTTTTAGCTCCTGAATAGATGCCACTCTTCCCAAGCTGGGAGCCTTACCTTCCATGTTATTCTGAGAAATGTACAGACAGTCTGGCAGGGGGTCCTTAGGGAGCTGCTCTAGGCCCAGGGAAATATCTAAAGATACTCAGATATGAATCATTAGCTTAGAGTCAATGAGATGTGTAGGCCAGGTGCAGGACTTCCTTCTCTGTCTTTTGATCTGTGCCAGACACAGAGTAGGTGGGCAGTAAAATTTAATTGGATGACTTACCTACAGAATGAAACGATGAATACTAAATTTCATAGTAATCCATCAAAGATGTTAGAGAGAAAGAAGGGTTACCTATACATTAAAATGTGCTTAAAAGCATATCAATTAAGGCAATTTATGGACTTAATTTGGATTTTTAAAAAATTAGTTGTTGATGGACCTTTAGTTTATTTATTTAGTTTTATGTGGTGCTGAGGATCAAACCCAGTACCTCACACATACTAGGCAAGTGCTCTACCACTGAGCCACAACCCCAGCCCCTGATTTGGATTTTTATTCAAGCAGCAAATAGTGAAATAATTGGAAAATGTGAACACTGGCTAGATATTTGATATTTTTGTTAACCCTACAGAGTATTTTTTTTTAACTTTAAATGTTGTCATCATTTTAAAGTAAGAGGTTTTACATTAAAATCCAGATTCCAAGCTTATTTTTTAAAAATAGGGAGCTCTGATCCCAAATGGACCCATCTCCCCACTCAGGAACTGTGTGCTGTGGTGAAGGCGTACTGGTCTTTTGAAAGTAAAACAAGGACTATCTGGTTCCCTAGGCCCCCATCTCAAGCCCAAAATAAGTGCCACTTCTTCCCTTGACATCTCAAACAGGACTAATGCCTCATCCTTCTCAACTCTTAGAACCTATCATAATTAGTTAACCAGCTCCTTGTACTTTTGTTTGTGGATGTCTTATCTCCCCTCCCTCTCTCACACCCAGGCTAGACTAAAGTTTTAACAGAATCTGAATACCAAAAAGATTGTGTAGGGTGCTTCCCCATATGTAGTTCCCAATCAATTTTATGTTTCTAAGTAAGCTGAAGACAAACTTTCAAGATTAAGAAATGAAAAAGAAAAACCTATAGAAGAGTTGAAAGAATGGCAAAATGAACTCATGTGACTGTCCAGATTTTTAATATTTTTTGGTATTTGCTTTTATCTGGTTTTCTCCCCTAACTCCTCCTCATCAATGTGTTTCAAATATTATGAGGCTTCACCTCCAAATTCTTTTTTAAAAAATATTGTTTAGTTGTCAATGGACCTTTGTGTTATTTATTTATTTTTTAATTTTTATTGTTGGTTGTTCAAAACATTACATTGTTCTTGACATATCATATTTCACACTTTGATTCAAGTGGGTTATGAACTCCCATTTTTACCCCGTTATTTATTTTTATGTGGTGCTGAGAATCAAACCCAGTGCCTCACACATGCTGGGCAAGCACTCTACCACTAAGCCACAACCCCAGCCCCACACCCAAGAAATTTGACCTTTATGCAGTATTATCTATTATACCGTTTATATTCAAAATCTTCCAACTATCCCAATAATGAATGTCATTTAGAGTTATTTTTAAATCCAGATTCTATTCAAGGATCATGCGCTGCATTTGGTCTCTTTAGACTCTTCCAAACTAGATGTTTCAGTCTTTCATGACACTAACATTTTGAAGTATCTAGGACCATTGTTTTGTAGATTAAGTTACAGCCTCGCTTTGTCCAAATATTCTATCATTTCTAGATTTGAGTTCCACATTTTTGCAAGAAACCACAATGGTGATGTTGTTTTCTAGATTTTCTATTTGTGAAGTTTCCAATGAATTAAAACCCAATTCATCAAAGTTGAATTTGGGTTTGTGTATGTGTATGTACTTTGCTGGTGCCCTAATCACAGGTGTGTCATAATAATAATCATGGCACCATGATCACTGTATTTACTTAGAAGCAGGGCTTCTAGTGTTGTTGATTACTTCCTCACCAATACTTATTGTTCAGTCTTTAATTTGTGCCAAATCTGTAGGTGTAACATGATATTATTCGGTGCTTTTTATTTGTATTGACTACTAAAGACTGAGCATTTTTCAATATGTATTGGCTATTTGTGTTTTCTATTGAGAGGTGTGTTTATGCCTTTTGCCAATTTTTTGGAAGTTGTTTTATCTTACATACATTTAGATCTTTGAATTCTGAATACTAATCATTTATACATTTTCTATGTCTCAACTCTCATGAACCAGTATTACAGAAGGCATAAGCACATGAATACTGTAGTGAAACATTTTGTTCAGATTCCAGTTTTGTCACTTATGTGTGGCTCTGGACAAAAGATTTAACATCTCTCTGCTTTATGTAAAAATGAGGTTGATAATGGTACATATGTCATAGGTTAGGAGGGGGACTAAATGAGTTAATACATGTAGTGAAGTAAGAACAGTACATGGATCTGGGTGTGGTGGCACACATTGTAATCCCAGTGGCTCAGAGGCTGAAACAGGAGGATCCCAAATTCCAAGCCAGCCTCAGCAACTTAACAAGGCCCTGAGCAACTTAGTACGATTCTGTGTCTAAATAAAATATAAAAACGGCTAGGGATGTGCTTAGGGTTTAAGTAACCCTGGATTCAATTCCTGGTACAAAAAAGAAAGAAAGAAAGGAAGGAAGGAAGGAAGAAAGGAAGAAAGAAAGAAAGAAAAAGAAAAGAAAGAAAGAAAAAGAACAGTACATGGCACATAATAACAATAAGTGTTTGGTATTTTAGCTTCTTCCATTTTATAGCTTCCATGTTTTTTTATTTGTACTTATTAGCTATACATCATAGTAGAATATATTTTGAAATATTATACATATATGGAGTATAACTTCTTATTCTTCTGGTTATACAGGATGTAGACTTACATTGGTTGTGTAATCATACATATACACACAAGATAGTAATGTGCTATGTCATTTTGATGTCTGATTCATTCTGAGACTCAGTGGGCTTATTCAAGTGCTGTCCTATAAGTGGTCTCCTGCTCCATTTTGAGGCTCTCCTGCAGCCCCAACCATAAACCCTTTCCTTTCAACCATGTGTCATAACACACAGTAATAATACATTAATGCCAGGGGTGAGTGCATTTTGTATAGGCAAGTGGCCATGAAATCATGTTCTTCAAGCCAACTTAGTTTGTCCTGTGAATGGGAAAAATATTCTGCAACCTCAAAAGCCTCACTCCAAATCTGGAGATTCATGCCAATAAGTGCTCTGTTTTACTTTAAAGGTACACACATATCCCAGTGATTTTTCACTCAACTTTGAGGCCCAATGGCGTCATCATTTGGTCTGCAACCAGGTAAGATAGTCTCTCCTCACAATAGAGCCCCTAGCACCTCACAGCAACTTATCCTCCCATCCTGTCCCTGGGCCTCTTCCCTCAACTCAGGCCTTTGTGGTTCAAAGACTAGTAAACTGGTGATACAAGTGCTCGGTGGAGGCACTCCGTAAATGTACCCTAACTAAATGAATGGCTGGGGAAGGGTGGAATATTAATGCGTTGCTAGGTAGAGATGAAAAAAGGAGAACAGGAATGTTGGATGGGCAAGTAGGCTACTGATTGGCTAGCACCCAGGATGCGCAGGAGTACAGCACGAAAATAGGAGAGGGTTTCTTCAGATAAATTAGTCACTGCCCAGTCGGTGAGGCGACCAGATGTGTGAAGAGCCGCGCTGCCTAGATTGAGGGTTCCACGGCGGCGCGGTGGCTCTCCGGGCCCCGCCCCGCCCCCCCCCCCCCCCCGCCCCGCCCCGCCCCCCGGGGTCCAGGCCGCGTTCCCCTCGGAGGCTACGGCACTCGGAGGCTACGGCAGCGCCTGCGCATTGCCGTTCCAGAGTCACCAGTGGGTCCCATCTCGCCTCCGAAGATGGCGGACCACACTGTCGCCGGCCCCAGCGGCAGCACATCCTTGCGGGGACTTCGAGAACGTATGGGTGAGCTGGCCGGTGGCTCTCAGGTTAACTCGGGCCATCACGGGAGGTGGGCTTCCCAGGGCCCTAGAGGCCAAAGGAGCCGCGGCGCGAGTTCCACAAAACTTTTCTCCGGAGTCGCCACGCGCGGTCCGGTCCTTCCTTCACCCCCGCGGGAATCCCCGGGGATGGAACTCGGGGAGTCCTGAGCAGGGGGCGGGAGGGGAAACGACTGTCCAGACCTGCCAGTGGTTGAAGTCCCGCTGCCAACGGCCAAACTGTCTCTGCCAATGGCCAAAGTCCCGCGGGCTGGGCGCGAGTGAACTAACGGGCACTGCCCAGGCGGGTGGGGCCCGCGCGGCTGGAACCTCGGACTCCGCCGTTGGCCCCGAGCCTCGCCGTTGGAGGACGGAGGACACCCGTGCGACCGGCCGAACGGATGCTCAGCTACCGGGGATGTGCGGGAGACCCAGACCCCGCGCACCCGCGCCGCCACTGCGGCTGGGGCAGCGCTTCCAGCCTTGGAAAGTTTGAGTTTTTTCCCAGCCTGAGGCGTTCACACCCTTCTGGTCAAAGTCCAGGAAGGAAGGAGCTGTGGGTGGGGGGGTTTAAAGTTGGGAAGAAACTTGGCTCTCTGTACCTCCTGATTTGCCTTGCTGTAGCACATGACTTCGACAAGATGTCACCTTCCTGGGACATTTTGCAGTCCCTAGGCTGAGCAGTACTTAAGAGTGTTTTCATCTCAACAGATCCCATCGTCAGAAAGTTTTTCCCTCCTAAAAAAAAAAAAAAAACGAACAAACAACAAAAACACATTAATCAAACGTGGCAGTGCGTTGTTTGATTCGGGATAGTGTGCTCCTACTGAGCCAGAGTGTTTCTTGCTCACGGGAGGGTGTTTTAAGCCTGTCCTCAGTAATTACCTCTGCTATGAGCGTGAATAAAACGGTTTTATTGGTTTTTTAAAAAAATTCCTTTTTTTCATTTGCAATTAAGAAGTTAATTTAGATTGAGATTGGGAGGCTATATGATACTAAACAAGACTTTGAATCAACTTTCCAAAGAATATATCAGAAAGAAATACACTTTCATTGTTCCGTAGGGAAAAAAAGACTATACCTTCTGCGTCTATGTTTGGTTCACTCAGAGTTTGCAGTAACTTGTAGTGCTTATTGACACCTTAGGCCCTCTGATAGTAGATTATCAAGGATTGAAATTAACCAGCATGTATTCCAATATGTTGGAAAGAGCATGTGTTCTAATATGTTGTCTGTATATCCACTAAAAACATTTGTATATTGAGTTTTGGAAAATGTTTTAAAATTATGGAAAGTTGTCTTAATTTACAGCATTTCAAACTTCAAAAATATCATGCAAAAAAGCCTTAACCCTTCTAGAACCCTAGTTTACAGCATAGTTTACATCCTTGCTGCCCCTTTCATATTCACAATCAAAAACATCACATGCTAGACTTCCACAAAGCACTAGCTTGACTAGAAATGCCCTCATGGTGTCAGCATTTTCCTGAAGGGGTCAATGAGACAATGGAATGTTTTTGCTAGAAGGTCAATTTCATCTCCTACTGGGAGCCTAGCTGCATGAATTAAAATAGAACAAATAACTTATGTATGTGCACAGTAAACTCTACACATATTTATTTTATACATTTATACATGTATGCATTAATATATATATACATTATATACATGTACATGTATATACACTATATAAATGTGTGTGTATATGTACATTTACTGAGTTACGTTTCTCTGTGTAGCACTATGCTAAGGTTGTAGTATTATATTGACAAGAGACATGTTTCACACTTTTATACAGAATTGTTTTAAAATAAAGTTTATTTGAATATTTCAGCCAGATGAGCATAAGAAACTTTGCTCCTGACATGTCACCTTTTCCTTCTTATTTTTTAAATCCGCACATGATTTCTCAGTGTAGAGTTTATTATTCCAAGAAACAAATGCAGAAAAAGCCACTGAGACTGAAAGCCACATTATCATAGAATTTGAGAGCTGGAGTAATCTTAAATTTAGTTCAGAAGTCAGTATCCCAGCTAGAAAATTCTGGGCAGGTTCTACAACTGGACCATATACTGTAATGGGGAATTGGCTGTTTTTCCACATAGCCATTCTATTCTAGACAGCTCTAAATGGTAGAAAATTGTCCCTAATTTTTATTGTCTTTAAGATATTGGTTTGGCTTTGTGTGTGTGTGTGGGGGGGAGGTGTCTTCTGAAAGTACTTATCCTTAGGACTTTGGCTGTTGCTGTTTTAGGCAAAATTCTGCAATCTACCTTTGTGTGTGTGTGTGGTTCCCTGATTGCAAATTTGTGTTCCTATTAGTTTTTTCTTAATACTTTAATATTTCAAAATTAGTTGCTTTTTAAAGTACAGTTAATTCCTGGCTTTATCACTTACTATTTTTCTCTGTGATCTGGGAAAGTTATGTTTAGCTTCAGTTTATTCATTGGTGAATATAAAAATGTGCACTTCATAGAATTGCTAAATGAAGTAATACAAATGAACTTTGTAGATTGCAAAGTGATATGTATTATTTGGTATGGCAGTTGTATAAATATTAAGACTCATAATTCAGTTATTTAATTTTTTTAGTTATAGATGGACAAAATATCTTTATTTTGTTTATTTATTTTTATGTGACTGCTGAGGATCGAACCCAGCACATCACATTGCAAGGCAAGCGCTTTGCCACTGAGCCACAACCCCAGCCCTATTTAAATTTTTTTAACCTCATTCAATTTTAGTAATATTCTTCAATTTCCAGGCAAAAGGTGGCTTGGTCCCTTACTTTGAGTTTAGAGTTGGGATAACAAGTATAGAAATAATATAGTGTTGTATACTTACTGTACCTTGCCATTACTTTTTCTTTTTCCCTTCAGGGCTGGGAATGGACCCCAGGGCCTCATATGCTAGGCAAGTGCTCTGAGCTATCATCCATTGCCCTTGCTGTTACACACACACACACACACACACACACACACACATATACATATATATGTATATTTATATATATACATATATATGTATATATATACATACATACACATGTATGCATTAATACTTCAAATGAATGTTAAACAAATTATCTCATTCAGTGAAGTTGAATGAAGTGAATCTGGAAGGAATTGAATCTGGACATAATCTCTCATTACCTGGACATTTAAAATAATTTTTAAAGCCTGTCTTTTTTGTGAACATATTTCTTGCCAGTAGGAATTTGTATACAATGATCTAAAAATCGGGTTTAATATTATTACTATATTAGTCTTTATATGATTTAGTTCATTAATCCCACCGCAAGTACTTCTAAGGTTATGTGGTATAAGATTTTTATGGGCTGAGGTTGTGTGGCTCAGTGGCAGAGTGCTTGCCTAGCATGTGTGAGGCATTGGTTTCCATCCTCACACCACATTAAAAAATAAATAAAATAGTTATTATGTCCATTTACAACCAAAAATTTTAATAAAGATCTTTAGAACCTGGTAAAATTGTACCTTTTGAATGAAATTGTCTTATGGTCAGCTAAATTGTAAAATTCAGAGTCCAATTCTTAGGACTTCTAAATAGGAGAATTGAATGTGCAAAAACAATACTGTGTTCACAAAAATGTGAGTGGGGAAGTATGTGGAAGGGTTCAATTTATAGACTATTTGTAAAAATTACTGTCTCCACATAATTGCCAGTAGTTGAATTATCAAGAAAGAGGAGAAGAGTCTCATCTTCAAATTTAGTCAGGTCCTAGATTATCTGAGCTGTTAGGTCCATGGGTCAAAAAATATCCCTTTCTCTCTTGAAATAGTGATCCCTATGGCAGCATTTGTGATGTCACTTTCAAGGTTACCCTGTAAAACAACTCCCATGTAGCTTAAGTGCAAGGAAAGCACCTCTTTTCCCTTATTTTTAATATTTTTGAAACTTTTACTTATTTTATATTGTGCTGAGGATTGAACCTAGTGCCTCACATGTGCCAGGCAAGTGTTCTACCATTGAGCCACAACCTCAGCCCCCTTTTCCCTTATTTGTTTTGATTACCCATCTTTGTTATATTTTTCCTATACCTAACAATCAGACTTGTGTGCAGTTTCAAAGGTGCATATTTTCTGTGCTTTTATACAGGAGTAAAACAGTTTTCAATGTTATTCTCCATACCCTTCCTAAAAAAGTCCAGGATTGTGGAGTATTTTAGATACAACCATCATGGAATCAAAGGGTTCAGAGATCCCCTATAATAACTCTCATGTGTATCATTTTATAGTCTTTCTTACTTTATCTCAAGTTGCAGTTTCCTAATCTTGCACATAGTCCTTACTGAAGTTTATTTTCTCTCTTTTCTGCCTGTTGATATATGTTAGCAACTTTGCACAATTTGTATTGCTTTGCTTGACGTTTTGCTACCTAGAATGATATGTCATTGGAAATTCCTTCTACTCATTGCTGTTGCCTCCACCTTCCTTGTAAATTAGAATAGACTTTGGGAGGCCTGGAGGTGTAGCTCAAGTGCTAAGAATACTGGAAAGCCTGGATTAAATCCCCAGCACACACCAAAAAGAAGAAAACAAGAAAGAGAATCGAGCTTTTTACAATTGCAGATGCTTGTGCCCCACCTGGGGCTGGATTAGGCATTGCTGATGTTTTTAAATTGACTCAGGTGATTCTAGTGTGCAGCCACGATAGAAAGCCCCTATTCTAGATGACTTACAAATGTACTTCTTGATATTGGGCCCAAGCACTGAGGATTTCACTGTTCATACTCTGCTTCCAGATTCAGATCCATAAATTTATATATGTGTGTGTGTGTGTGTGTGTGTGTGTGTGTGTGTGTGTGTTGTATTTGGACACAATAACCTGTATTTTATTTTTATGTGGTGCTGAGGATTGAACCTAGCACCTCACACGTGCTAGGCGAGCACTGTACCCTCAGATCCATTAATTTTTAACCTATTAGTTTCTAAATTCCCAAATTATGGTGAAACATATTTTTTCCCAGTTCTTGGCCAGCTCAGTTTTTTTCTACTACTTGGTGTAATGTCCTTCTCACACATTTTGAAGAGCTATCATCATTGGTCTCCCATTGATCCATAAACTTGTGCTGCCACATACAATACAGTTGTCTTTATGTCCACAAATACTTTGGCACATCCATAGTAAACACTTTTAACTCTTTAATCAGGTATTGTTGAACAATATAGGTATTCAGTACATCTTTATTGTTGACCCAGATTAAGCAGTCACAATTTTACCTTGAAGAGTGACCCAGTTCTTTATCATCACATAAAATTGACTGTGGTGATCCCTCTATTTCCTGTTTGTGTTTTGATATCTAATCCCTTTCCTTTATCTCCTAATATTTTAGTTGCTGCCGCTCAAGCAGTTGCAAAAGAAAGGCGAGATCAAAGTGGAGTTAGCTCTTTTTCAAGTCAGTCTCCAACTGTAAGATCAGCATTTAAGCCAGGTATAATTTCTTTAATGCTTCAAGAACAGCAAAGTGTTGTATCTTTAAGATTTGATAGCATATTAATGTCTATATTCTTTTTTTAAAGTAATAGATGGGTCTGTTCTAAAAAATGACTTAAAACAAAAATTAGCAAAGGAGCGCAGAGAAGAAAGAAAAAGACAACAAGAAGGTATATTTCAGACTTTTATTTATATTAAAATGAATAAATTTTATGTAAAGTTCATATTGGTTTTACTTGCTTTTTCTCTGTGTTTATATGATAGATAATAACTTTTGTTATATAAAAGATTATTATATTGGATTAAATCCAGTTACCAAATCAGATAAAAAATCTTTGACTAAATTATTCAATTTTTCAAGATGTAGTTTCTGTTGTCTGTAATTTTCTGAAAAGTAAGATATGAACATTTCTTCAACATCTGTAAAAACAAGCAGAATGGGATTTTAGTAAAAATGATTTTAAGCCAGGTATGGTGGCACATGCCTATAATCTCAGCATCTTGGGAGGTCGAGGCAGGAGGATTTCTAGTTCAAAGCCAGCCTCAGCAATTTAGCGAAGCCCTGAGCAGCTAATCCCTGTAATCCAGGGTTTACAGGTGTGGGCCACCATGCCCAGCTAATTTGTTTTATTTTTGCTTTTGTTTTAAGTGTTGGGGATGGAACCTAGGGCCTTGTGCATGCTAGGCAAGAGCTATATCTGCTGAGCTATATCCTCAACCCCCTTAATTTGAAATTACCATTTGGACAGGATGACGGTCATCTGGCTCAGACACTCCAAATCACCAGAGTTAAATGAGCACCCAGTGAAAAATGGTTCTTTAGTGTCCACTTTTATCCACTTATTACATAAATCTTTAGTTTCTAGCTAGGTTATGTTATTTTGAGAAAGACAATGAGTGATATTAGCTGTTTTCTTTGTGTGTAATGTAGAAAACAAATTTTTTTCTTGGCTCTTACACCTTGAAATTGTGTTTGGATTATTTCAGCCAGTAAAGAAATACAACTACTTGAAAAAGAAAGAAAGGCCAAGCTCCAATATGAAAAACATCTGGAAGAAAAGCAACGAAAACTAAGAGAACAAAAAGAAAAAGATGAGCGGCGAAGAATATCTGCAGAAGAAAAAAGAAAACAAAAATTCGAGGAAGAAAGGGTATCTAATTTTATAGCCTATTCATCAGATGATACCATATGTTGCCTGAATCTGAAATATGTTTATTCTTAGCCCTTGTCGCTTTACTCCCTGTGGAAAAGAACTCAGTCCCAGCTCTTTCCTCTCTTCTTCCCTTTTCCTTCCCTCAGCAGTAGAGGCTCCTGCCCTGTCCTGATAAGGTCCTAGGAGCTCAGACCCTAACCTCAGAAAGGAGTAGCCTTGCAGATGTAGGAACAGAGGTCCCATTTGCCTTTGGGATATGGCTCATAGGATACCTGTGATTTGGGTTGTGCTCTGAGCAGTTCTATCTATTATCAAAAACCATTCACTATTGTCCCATTGCCTAGAGACTGAGGACAGACCCCAGTGCCTCAGCTCCCTGACCTGCCCCCATCTGACTAGATGGTTTCTCTAGACTCCTCTAATTGTGTGACTCCCCAATCAAATCTAAGCACTTTCTCTCCCCTTCCATGTACGCTGGCTCTCTTGTGTGTGTGCCTACTCTCTCCCTCCCTGTCCCTGTCCCTTTTGTGCTTCACAGTCCCTTTTCTGACTTGGCCCCTATGGACCTGTGGTTCATGGTCAGCATTCTTCATTTTTTCTCTTGTCTTGTGGCACTACCACTCTTCCTTTCTGGGCTCTTTTTGGTGTGTGACATGTTAGTGTGAGCCGGTGGCTTCCTTATGCCCCCTTTCTTCCTCATGTGTGCCTCTGCAATCAGTTTGTCTTTTGTTATTTATACTGTGCATCTGGCTACCTGTCATTCTCTATGATTTTCCTTTTTTTTAATCTTAAATTTTTGTCTCATAGGTCATTTCACTGCTCGACTCCTTCTGAATCTGGCATGTTCTCTGTGACACAGTCTGTTTGTTCCACTGACTATTCAGTGTCTCTAAATATGTTTTAGACTCTCTGACCCTGACTTTTTCTTCCTGAGACCACTCACTTTTCTTTTTATTTTCTTTGTCTTAGAGTTTCCATGCTTTTCCCCATCTTCTAGCTCTCTGCCTGTCATTCTCTCAGTGTGAATGCATCTTTAATCTCCCTCCTTATTTTCGATTGCTCTGATTTTTGTATTTCTTTTTTTCTCCTTGTCTCTTTGGTTCCATTTCTCCCTGTGAAACTTCTTTTGTCTTTCTCTGTGGTACATACTTGTCCTCCTTTCTGGTGGATGCAGGTGCTCTCACATGTGCTTCATGCGCAGCCCTGCACCCCATCTGGAGATCTTCAGTATTTTCTTGTGCCTTTTGTTCCCCATCCATGGTCTGTTACCTTTTCCTCTCTGCCTTACTGAACATTTTTTTCAGTAGTGGGGATTGAACCCAGGTGTGCTCTACCACTGACCTCTATTTCCAGCCCACACTTCTTTTTTAATTTTGAGATAAGGTCTCACTAAGTTGCCCTGGCTGGCCTCAAACTTACAATCCTCCTGCCTGAGCCTTCAGAGTAGCTGAGATTATAGATGTGTACCAACATACCCAACCTGAGCCTTTTTCTTTTTTCTTTTCTTTTTTATTTTTTGGTACCAGGTATTGAATCCAGTGGTGCTTAACCACTGAGCCATATCCCCAGCCCAACCTGAACTTTTTTCTTTGGATGTTTGTGATCTGCAGGTTTCATGTTCCAGTATTTAGTATAATATCTTTCATAATTTCTTGTCACTTTCCATTGTCTTCTGTGAAACATGTCCTCATGGAAGCCAGAGAAAATAGTAGGAACTAAGGAAAGACAGTTCAAGAACCAAAGAATGTAAAATAGAAAACTGTGTGCAGATTGAAGAGGAGGGTCCTTGGAGAAGAGACAGTCCCAGGGACTGAGAGAGAAGGAGAGAGAGATAGAGAAAGGACCATCTAAGTAAAAAGAAAAAAAGCTGAAAGACAGAACACAGAGAAGAGAATATAACAAAATGACACTGCAGACAAAAGGGGAGCCAAAGGCTAGGTGTGGTAGTGCATGCCTGTAATCCTAGTGGCACAGGAGGCTGAGGTAGGAGGATCACAAGTTCAAAGCCAGCCTCAGCAATGGTGAGGCCCTAAGCAACTCAGTGAGACCCTGTCTCTAAATAAAGTATAAAATAAGCCTGGTGATGTGCCTCAGTGGTCAAGTGCCCCTGAGTTCAATCCCTAGTACCATAAAAGAAAAACGAAACAAAACAAAAAGAACAAAAGAAAGAAAGGGAGCCAGAGACATAGCCAAAGGGGCAGGAAGGAAGAGAGAACTCCAGAGAGCTAGTGTAAGGGAGTCCCAGACAGAGTAGGGGACATGGGGCACTTTAAGTAGGCTTGGCTATAGGAAATGAGAATATAATTTTGAAGAGTAGAGAAGGAGAGGTGAGTATAGAGAGGAGATATATATGACACAAGATGGAAACTACACGTAAGCTATGGGCAGCCACAGATTTGAGAAGGAACCTGAAAGACAGCACAGAAGGTCAGTACATTTAAAAACAGTGGGATACAATTCTTATGGATCAGAAATATTTTCATAAGGCAAGGTTCTTCTCTGGTTTTAGTCTATTATAGTTCCAGGGTTTCTAAGCAATTTAGAATAACTTGACTTTCTGTTAGAAAATGTGATTTTCAAATATTGCCATTACATAAATTCTCTTTCATTTTCCTGGCATGTTTATCTTTGCCCTCAGAAATGGTGGGGACATTATAAGGATGATGTTGCTATGAAACGGTTGTTAAGGAAGAATAGAAAACCTCTGGTCCTGAGGTTGATTTGCTTACTCAAGTATAGTACATGGTATTTTACACACAGAAATGAGAAATATCTGAGTAAAGATCTCGTTTCTGGAGTGCAGCTCTTCTGCCACAGCATGGCAGTTGTGAGTGGTGATTTGACTAGTTTAATGCACAGTTGAGGTCAAGACAAAGACATCACTTATCTTTTTTAGAACACTATTAGTTGACACCAGAATTAAGCTGCTGTAGGTGTGGGTATAATAGATGACTGTGGCATAGATTTACTGATATTTATGCTGTTATTTTCTTGCTTCATTTCACAAAAATTTAAGGAAATTTAAAAAATACATACCACACCAGATATTAAAATTAATGGTTGAGAAAGTAATGATTGAGGGAATCAAGCTGAGGGGAGAATTTAGGTAGATAAAGGTATTGAGGTAGGTAAGATATGATTAGCACTCAGTCTTTGCAATTGCTAAAAATAGACCACAAACCCGGCGTGTAGCACATCCTCCAGCTCAGGAGGCTGAGACAGGAGGATCTTTTGAGTTCAAAGCCAGCCTTAGCTATTTAGCGAGGTCCTGAGCAACTTGGCAAGATCCTGTCTCAAAATTAAAAATAAAAAAGGGCTGGGGATATGGCTCAGTGGTTAAGCACCCTTTGGTTCAATCCCCAGTGCCGAGAGAGAGAGAGAGAGAGAGAGAGAGAGAGAGAGAGAGAGAGAGAGAGAAATAAACCACAAGTTTGACTGTAAATTTCCTAAGGATATAAGCAAAGAGGAAAGCATGGTCAGTTCATTGATGCAGGGTTCATAAAACAAAAAAGAAACTATTCAGAAGAAGCACTGGTATTGATTGGTACCTGAAACATGTCTCCAATTATTTTAAACTTTTATCTAATAAAAACTTCTGATAATGAAATTTGGTGATGAGGTTTGCTTTGTAAACCACAAATCAAAATTTTTACTAATATAATGAATGTAGAAAATTGTGTTGGCATTTATTTTAAATAGGAAAAATACAGAGCTGTTCTTTCTCGCACTTTGGAACGGACTAACCGTGTTGATCAACGGCAAAAGAGATGGTCATGGGAAGGCTCCGCCATGGCAAATTCTGAAAACAAACCTGGTAATGAAAACAACAATCAAATTTTAAGTTCACTAATGTTCATATTTAAATGTTGGCTATTACTATAAGGATGCATTTATAGCAAGATTGTAATCTCTATCCTAAACAAAAATGCTATACACAGTAAATTTATATTTAAATTTGTGTCATATGACAGTGTAGAAGAAACAGGTAAGATTTTATAATATATTTTAATTCAGTATACCCCAAATCTTAATTAAATTTATAACCAGCATAAAATGATAACTACACACTACTTGTTTTAAAAAATAAACTATTTTCTTTACTATTTACTCACCATAAGTTTTTTTTTATATGTAGGTATAATTTTACGCAGTTTCATAAAATAAAATATTAAGTTTATATAGTTTGGAAGGAATGACTGACAATAAATATTATATTCCTAATTAATGTAAATCTGTCCTCCATAGAACTACATCTATGAAAACTCATTTTTTTCAGCTAATATTGTCTTGTAAAAATATGATTACAGTAAATATCATATCTTTTCTCAGTTGATAAATGATCTATATTTACTGAAAATCTTCAGCAGGGCTTATCTGCTTTAATTAAATAGATGCCTATGTCATTTACACGTCTTAAATTCTATTGCTAAGAGTAAGTAGTTATGTCATGAATTCTGCTGATTTTCAACTTAAGGAAATCAATTATTTTTATGTATTTACACAGTGCCTCTTGTTTAGATTGTAGAACATTTAGATTTATTTCAGAAAAACACCACATTATTTTACAGTAGAATGAGATGGCCATTGCTATTTTGTATTTTCATCAATATAAATCCTTGTTTCATGATTTTTGTGTTAATCATATTAGATGGAATTTGGGGGCTCAAATTTGAAATGTTTGAAACATATTTTGCCAAAAGACATTGGCATTAAGTGGCATAATAATTTATTTTACTTTTAAATTAATTCACATTCTAGTCAATTTGTAGAATGTAAATTAATTTAATTTACTTTTAAATTAATTCACATTCTAGAAATTTTGTTTTCTAAAGTATGGTTAGACTAGTCATTCAGTTTACACTGTCATTTAAAGAAAATAATAGCATAAATATAGTGGTGGACAGATTGATCTGCTTTACAAATATCATATTTGTTATCTACAGTGAACTTGTGAAATATATCAGCAAGTACAATTGCCTTCCTTGTTTCATAATTAAGACATCAAGAAATTCAATGATTTCTACCTTAACATGCTTTATTTTTATTTTTTATTTTTTGGTACCAGGAGTTAAACCCAGGGGTGCCTACCAATTGAGCCATATCCCCAGCTATTTGTTTTACATTTTATTTAGAAACAAGGTCCCCCTAAACACCCTAATGATAAGAATATTGCCAAGTTCACTTTACAAATCTTCATAGTTAAAAATGCAGTGTTGTTTTAAATAAAATGAAGTTATCTGTTATGAATACTTTAAATACCTTTTTTGTTCCTGGTGTTTCCCCTTTTCATTACTATTTTGTATTTTTATACTTTGTACCTTATGCTTGCTAGGCAAGTGCTTTGTCACTGAGCTACACCCCAGCCTAGTATTACTTATTTTTTTAAAAAATCTTTACTTCAGTGTGTGTTGGTGACCATTTCTGACTTTTTTCACATGTATTGAAATATATTAAGCAACCATATCTATCAATCTAAGAGGAAAAATACCTTTGTCTTTCCAGAGGAAGCAGTAGGAATGATCTTGGCAAGAAAAACATTGGGAAACAAATTCTGCATCATTCCCTCAAACTTGGCCATTAAAAAAAGATAGATAGCTGGGCATGGTGACATGTGCCTGTAATCCCAGCTACTCAGAAGGCTGAAATGGGAGGATCACTTGAGCCCAGGAGGTTCTAGGCAATATTTTGAGACCCTGTCTTAATAATAAGGACAAAAAAAGATGAAACAATATCATTTTTATGCCTGGAATAAGACATCATAATAGTTTGAATTTAAAATGTGTCCTCGTTGGGCTGGGGATGTGGCTTAAGCGGTAGTGCATTCGCCTGGCATGTGAGGGGCGCTGGGTTCGATCCTCAGCACCACATAAAAATAAAATAAAGATATTGTGTCCACCAAAAACTAAAAAATAAATATTAAAGAATTCTCTCTCTCTCTCTCTCTCTTTAAAAAAAATGTGTCCTTGTGTTATTAGGTGCTTTGACATTTTTTGAACAATGCTGATGACTTTAAAATTCTAGTACAGCAAAAGATTCTGGGTGGTACCATTTAAAGAATAATGAATCGTAGCAGTGACTAATCTAGTGGATAGGATTTCTGTTTTTTGTCCAAAACAATATTATACTTGTGATAGGTTCAGGGGAAAAAAGGATTTTTATTTTGTTGAAACTCACCTGTTATTTGTCTTAAAACTCTTACAATTTCAACTATGAGCTTTCATTTTGTCTTTTGTTTACTTTTGTTGACAGTCTTAGTCTAGCACATTTTCTCTTACAATAGTCTGGGAAAAGTTGGATCCACATACCACCTCTCCTCCCTCATTGTTCTTTTCCAAAGCACTTTTATGTGTAGCCTGGGTTCATTCATACGCTAATGTAGGAAGACTTTTTTTTAGCACCTTGCTTGTCTCGTGGTAAAATTAATGTATTATTTACCAACTAAATCTCTTAGAAAAATTAGATAGCAATAATTGCAATAGCATATTTGTGTCCCATGAACATTGTTCTACAAGTGTTGACTATGTTTTATTACCTATTTACTTCAAGAATTAGCAGAGATTAAATATAATATTATATAAAACTATGCTTTCATTGATATGTCCACTTGCCATATTCATGAAACATGTAAAGAGAAGGGACAGGCGATGACTTAAAAGGTAAGGTAATAACTAGTTAAACAATACTGAAGGAGCAATACCAAGTTAACTTTTTAAATGATTTCTTTACTAGTTTTTAATAGAAGGTATTATGGAAGATACTTTGTGAAGTAACCTACTTAAAGGTACAGTATGATATATACTCCAAAGTGATGAATACTGTAATTAATGATTCCAGAAAATCTCTTTAAATTGAAATGAGACCTATTCAATCCAGAGAGATCAATATTTGAAACTCAAATGAAGTTCACAATTTAATATGTAATATTTTAAATAATCTTGTTTTAAATCTTGGTTGATTTAAATAGTCTTATTTTTCTTCCACTCATTGCTGACTCATAACTATTCTCAGTATTTTGTCATTTCTTGCAGTCTACTAATGAGGAATTGTGTAACTTAATCATTGACTTGCTTACAACTTTGTAGTTCATGCTATACAATCACATTATCAATTCAAATTTTCAAATGATGCTGGATTGTCAATATGTACTTTAATTTACAGATCTCATTGTTATACAAAATTATATACAAGAGGTTGTGAGGGGAAAGGGAAAAAATAAAAAAAAAAACAAGGGAGAGAATTAAATTACAGCAGATGGGATAGAGAGATAAGATGGGAGGGGAGGGGAGGGGGGATAGTAGAGGATAAGAAAGGCAGCAGAATACAACAGACACTAGCATGGCAATATGTAAATCAATGGATGTGTAACCGATGTGATTCTGCAATCTGTATACTGGGTAAAAATGGGAGTTCATAACCTACTTGAATCTAAAGTATGAAATATGATATGTCAGGAGCTTTGTAATGTTTTGAACAACCAATAAAAAAAGAGAGAAATTGTTTTTTTCAAACAGACATTCCTCAGTATTCTGAACTAGAATATTTGAAGCAAAATGAAAAAAGTGTCTATTGGAAGCAGATTGTTTTCCCTTGTGAATGGTTGGGTTGCTTAAGTTGTGACATTAATACTTTTGTTTAAAAATACTAGTTATAACTAACATATAAATCACTTTTACTATTAGACATCATGGATTGTGTCTAGAATCAAAGGTTGTATATTCCTAATTTGGGAACTTTGATGTTGTGGATAGTATCAGACATTTTACCTCTTAAATTTTAACATTTTCTAAATCACCTTATTTTCATTTCAGTAACAGAGTAAATTAGTTTTAAGTTTGGGGAGTAGAATCTCTGTATTGTATTTGAAATTAAATTCTTATAAGCAAGGGTAGATAAGATAAACAAAAATATGTAAACATGAGTGGCTCCTAAAATAATATATTTATGTCATTTATGAAAAGTAATATTTCTTTGCTTTTGACCTCTAGGAAAAACAGAAAATAAGAGAAGCTCATCTTTGAATAGAAGAGAAAACAAAGTACATTCATCTACTGACATAGAACACATGGAGGACAAGCCAGGTGATTAGTTAGTGGTTAAAACAGGCATATTTATGTCAACATTATTGGTTAAAAATCATTTCTGAAACTGAAAAGTGAAGCATCCTTTTTTTTCCTCCTTGAAGTTCTATGGATGGAACCTTTTCATATGTGTTTGTTGCTTTTTGTTTCTCACCATTCACTTATGGAAGACTTTGTACTTAATTGATTCAGGTTCAACCCTATTGGAACAAATGCCATTTCATAGGAATCTTTAACAATATAAATACTTATTGGAGCAAGATATTTATTTACAACAATGGTCATTTTGGTAGGAGGTACTGGGGATTGAAATCAGGGGCACTGATTTCACCACTGAGCTACATCCCCAGCCCTATTTTGTATTTTATTTAGAGACAGGATCTCATTGAGTTGCTTAGTGCCTCACTTTTGCTGAGGCTGGCTTTGAACTCATGCGCCTCCTGAGCTGCTGGGATCACAGGCGTGTACCAGCATGCCTGGCACAAAGCTCATTTTTAACAAAAAAGTTCAGTCAATTCCTGGGAGCTTTTGGCAATGCACTTGATGATTGTCAATGACATATATCTGGGAATCCATGTAAAGGTTGTTTTGTCATGTGCAATTCTTTTTCTCCATGTGTGAGTTCCCATAAGGACACCATACTATGGGAGGTGGTTATGTCAAATATGTTACCTGGGTTTCTTCTTTGGGGTTATTATGGTATGCTGAGGCCTTTGCTCCTTAATTCAGGTAATCTTGTCCCTGACAGTGCAATCTGATTAGATTAGCAGTGTCCAATCCTATTATACTATGTATTGTTGGGAAAGTTACCATTTTTACAGCAGTTTACATTGATCATTGTTGCTTTGTATTCATTCATCTGTAAGACCTCAAATTGAATGTTTTTTTATCATTTAGCTCGTCGATTTTATAGCAATCCCTCAGAGAATAATTTAATCAGTCGCCTGCTTATCCCAACAAGAGCATCAGTAGCCAGAAGCAAGACTGCTGCTTCATTATCCATCCCAGGAAAAGATACTCCAGGTAACAGGCACATGGAAAAAAGCCTGAAAGTACTCGTGTTTGCACTTAAAAAGTAGACTCTAACACTTAACTTTTTGCTTTTAGGTGTCAAAATAATTTGAATCAACAGTTACAAAATTTCTAGCATGGTAGATTAAACTGGGTAATGGGTAATTAATAGGATGAGATGACTAACTTGGTGATGGTTAAATTTTATTTTGTTTATTCAACTGTTATTTATTTATTTATTATTACATGGTGCTGAGGATGGAACCCAGGGCCCCACATGCACTAGGCAAGTGCTCAATGACAGCCACAACCCCAGCCCATGTTGGTTAAATTTTAAAGCTCTATAGATTCTAAAAATATAGAAGAATTTCACTAATATCAAACAAGAAAATTTCCTACTAACCTTTTTTTATTCAAAAATATGGAACAATAACATTGATCAAACTTCCAGTTTTCAATTAGGGACATAAAGATTGTAAGTACAACAAAACAAATCTTCAGGATTATGAGGACTTTCTCATTTGTAGTTTACATAGCCTATGGACAGCAAGATATCCCCAATAATGGAAAGGTCTATTGCATTGTCCCCATTATTTACCCTCTCTGCTTTTTCCTTTCCAGAATACATCCCACCTCTTTTTTTTTCTGTCATTTTCATGTGATTAGTAAAATGAATCAACATTGTATCAGTCTTTCTTGTAGTACTCTGATTCCTGGCATGCTTTATGTGTGTGTATGTGTGTGTGTGTGTGTGTGTGTATATGTATGTATATATATATATATATATATATATATATATATATATATAATCAGATTAGTTTCTGCCAGTTTCCCCCACTACCAATCTAGATATTTCTGATTATTTTTGTTTTGGCTTAATAGATCACTATCATGAAAAACTCAGTATTTTGTCTTAAATTTCTATAACGAGCTAAGTGTAGATTTTAGCACACCTAAAATCTCAGCAATGTGGAGGCAGAGGCAGGAGGATGGCAAGTTCCAGGCCACCCTGGGCAACAAGACCCCATGTCAAAATCAGAAATAAAATGGACTGGAGCGGGACTGGGGTTGTGGCTCAGGGGTAGAGCGCTTGCCTAGCACGGGCGAGGCCCTGGGTTAGATCCTCAGCACCACATAAAAATAAATAAGTAAAATAAAGTTATTGTGTCCAACTACAACTAAAAAAATAAATATTAAAAAAATGGACTGGAGGGAGATAATGATCAGTGATAAAGTGACCCTAGGTTCAGTCTCTAGGATCACACAAAAATCTTATACTTTATACATGTTCTATAATACTAATTTTTTGTGTTAATTAATGTAACTGTTAGGCACATGTAGATATGTAAAGAAACTGCTTTCTTTATCAAAAATGAGGAAGTAAAAAAATAACAACTTTGTCAAGTTTTTTTCATAAGTAGTCAATTGATAATTCTATTTTAAATATTTGACAAAATCATGAAAATTTGCCACGTAAAGTTGATGTGCCAAATAATTGTACCAAGTGTTAAGAAAACTACCACAGACATTTTTAAAATGTTTACTTTATTATATAAGCAGTAAACATTTAGCATAGAACAAGATTTTAAGTGTAATCTCCCTAATATTTCAAGGCACACTGGTAATTTAATATCTCTCCACATATATATTTTTTCACAAAAGGAGATAGTAGCCTGCCTTTGTTAAACTCAATAAATATCATTTTCCTGTATCCAAAAAATTGCAAATTACTTCTTTTAATGACTGCCTTCCTATAGTGCAAGTTTTCTTTTGAATATTTGGATTATATTTTCAACTATCCCAGTATTTTAAACAATAGTTTAGTTAGCAACAATGTGAATACATTTTTACATATTTATCTAGTTTTTTTTTTTCCAGGGCTAAGGACTGAACTCAGGGCCTTGCTGTGCTAGGCAAGTGCTCTGCCACTGAGCTAAATCCCCAACCCCTTTATCTAGGTTTTTTATCTTTATTTTTTTACTAAGGATAAATCCAGAGGTGGAATTGCTAAAACAAAGAGTATATACTACTTAAATGGCTTTTGATACATATTACCAAATTGCTCCTCAGGAAGCATATACAAATCTACAATCCCACCAGCAATGTATGAGGTTGCCTGGTTGCAAATATTGGAATTACCATTTTCTTCCATACAAGCTGACATGGAATATTAGCATTTTGCTCCTTCCCTAGGCAAAAAAAAAATATTTGGTTTGCTGAAGCTGGAAGAGACCTTTGAGATCTAGCCCACTCCGAGTAAGTCTTAGTACAGTTTTTAATATGGCTGAGAAAATGCTTTTCTTAATTCCCTTCTGCAACGATCAACTATGAAGTGTCTTATGTAACCACCTGTAATGGTTAAAATCTAGTCCTGGTGAAGATGTTCATATTACTTTTTAAAGATGTTGAAGACCTTGCAATTTTCATGAAAATAATTCTGGAGTGCAGTGCAGTTAAAATATAAATGGCAGGTCTGGGGCTGTAGCCCCGTGGTATAGCCTTAACTGACATGTGTGAGACACTGAGTTCAGTCCTCAGCACCATGTAAAAATATAAATAAATAAAATAAAGGTATAAAAAACAGAAATGGCAAACATCAACTTTGGAAAAACATCTTATTTTCATCTGTAATAAAGACCATTGCTTTCACAGTGACTGTTGTTGGGGAATACTTCCTGTGATGTGTGTAATCTCTGTGATTTCCTAATAAACAGTTGTCTCTTTTCTCTGTTCCTGTTCTTATACTGTCTTATCAAATTTCTAACTTTAGGGTATTTTACTCTCCATCCTCATTCACTTATAGGTGTCACCAATCACTTCCTCCAGTATGTACATATGCCCTTGCGTAGCCACAGTAGTGACGAATTGAAGAGTTCCATCATGTTCAGTAAGCCAATAGTGAAGACGCCTCTTCAGACAAAATTAGAAATGGCTCCCCTGGAGAAAGTAGTAACACCCTTTAAGGTAAATGTGGAAGCTACTCCCAAGGCGAAAATGGAAGTGCCCTCTGAGGTGAGAATGGATGCCTTGTTGAACATGGAAGCCTCCCCCATGGAGAACATGGAATTGTCCCCTGTGGTGAGCACAGAAACATCCCCCTTGGTTAGTGTGGAAGTGTCCCCTGTGGTGAGCATGGATGCCTCCTCTGAGGTGAGCCTAGATACATCCCCTGAGGGGAGCATGGACTCATCCCCTAAGGTGAACATGAAAGCTCCCTGTAAGGCAAACATGGAAGTATCCCAGAGTGTGGAAACACTTCCTGAGGCAAATGTGGAGGTGCCTCTTGAAGGGGAAGTGGAAGCATCACCCAAGGAGAGCTTGGAATCATCCCCTAAGATGGTGGCAGAAGTGTCCTACAAGGCATCCCCCAAGGTGAGCATGAAATTATCTTCCAGGTAAAAGTGAGAGACTCTTCAGAAGTTTGTCATGTTTTATTGACAAGATTCCTATTAAAATGTGTGTATTTCATTGTATAGAACATAATAGGTTAGGTTTTACAACAAAATTATCACTATTATAGTGTTGCGCAATAAAATTAATAAAATAATTCACTAAGTAATTTAAAATCTCTGATGTTTGTTACTCTAGTGTAATATTTCCCCCAAACTGTGGAATATTACTTTTGGTTGAAGGGAGAAAGTGTAACATTCCTATGAACTGTTTCTGAACTCTGAAGAAAAGATTTTTAAGAAGTCTTCCAAACCCTTAATTAAGACTTAGAAATGGAAATAGGTTTTGAAAAAAAGATTTCTCATAAATTAGTTATTTCTGTGATCCATTTGAATTGTGTAATATAATTGTTAGTCTAGAAGAAAATGTGTCTGAACCTGATTTCAAGCACTAAAGGAAATTTGTGGATTTAAGGAACTATAATTGTACTTTATTCAGAATGTTTTTCTTTTAGAAAGCTAGCTGCAATAAAATACTTACTAATATCCTACTGCATTAGCCTGTTCAGAAACCAGAAATGGACAGACAGACCTCCAACCCTGTTATCAAGAAGCATCCATCCTCAAACATACTATCTAATATGCAGTCACCATCTCCTGCCAGCGGGTGTCATCCACCCTCTCCCGTAAATACTATGTAAGTAAGTAGCCTACTTGCAACCATTCTGGTAGGTGTTAATTTCATGTCAGGACAAATTTCATGTCAGTGTTTGATGATGAAATATGATTGTATGTGCAGTAACACAAATGTGAAGAAAAAAAACTTTTAAAATGGATTTAGCTTTGTCTATTATAAAAATTCCCAGATCATAATCTTATGATCATTATCTCATAGTGTTGAGACTTTATATTTTATCAAATTGTATACTAAAAATTAACTAACACACATTTGTTACTTTTTCTCAGCAGGCACATTCAAAAGAACCGCCCACCATCACCTTCACCAGTCTTGTCAAAACAATCAGTACATGCTCCTCTGCCCTGTAAAATCATACCTGTTCAACGTACCCTATTTGTGCCAGATGGTATTGTCAAAAAGAAAAGAGAAACGGTTTCTAAATCCCCAAACAAATATGAGCCTGTGAGCCAAAAACAGATGATCTCTGAGGGTAAGTTCTCTCATTAAGAAGTGTGTTTTAAGACAGGTGTGGTGGCACATTCCTCTGATCCCAGCTACTCGGAAGGTTGAGGCAGGAGGATCACAAGTTTGAGGCCAATTGGGACAAGTTGGTGAGGCCCTAAGCAACATAACAAGACACTGTCTCAAATGAAAACTAAAAGGGCTGGAGATGTAGCTCAGTGGTAAAGCACCCATGGGCTCATTCCCCGGTATAAAAAAAAAAAATTAAGAAGTTCATTTTAACAACACATAAAATCCTGAGGTACTTTGGGAGTGGTCAATATCATTTTATTCCCCAATGGAAAGAACTTTAGGGAGTGATCTTTCTTTTAGATATTAAGAGAATTTAACTAAATCACTGGTTCTCCTGGAATGTAGCTTCTCTGCTTACTTGTCATTGCCAAAGCTTCGTATTCACCCCACCTCTTTGTTTTGGAAAGTTCATTTTGAAACTACTGCTAAAAGCACAGGTTGGATGAGAGGGTTGATCTAGGAGATCCCTGTAGGCTCTCCCAGCTCTGATGTTAGATGATTGCTGGAGAGAGCACATCTAGCCATTCCTGGATGAGCAGGTTTCCATTAGGAGATGTAGGTCAGGTTCCATATATAGGTCAGACCATGTGGTGTGCCTTAGTTTGTATTGTATGCAGGTTCCTGAAAATTGCCACATGGCTGTTTTGCCTTCCACACACATTTTTACACCTACAGACATTACTTAATTTTAAATACATTAGGGAGTTTTGCTTTTTAAAGGAATTTCACAGTAAATTCTTTGTAACAGAAATAATCTTTTTATTGCATATTGTTCATTCTTGATATGTCTTAAAATTTTCCTTTTCACATGTGATTTGTTTTAAGTAAAGCAATGAGTTACACAGACTAAAATATGATAATAGGCCTCCACATCTTCACCTTACTTTACTGATAGTCTTGGTTTCTTTGGTTATCATCTATAGTTAGACACTTTATTGATAACCAGATACACACACTGTTATCAGAGTTTAACTGGAAAGTAATGAAAATGTGCCACAGATCTCCAGATGTATGCCTAATGTATTTTTCGGTTAATCAGGTATTTAAGATTTATACTCTTCATTTGGACCAGGCTAAACCTTGACTTTCCCTATAATCAGTATATCTTAATCTTTTCCTATACAGTAATTTGATCAAGTTATCTCCAAATAGCTAAAACAAGGCCAGATGTGGTGGTGCAAGCCTATAATGCCAGCAGCTCGGGAGGCTGAGGCAGGAGGATCCTGAGTTCAAAGCCAACCTCAGCAAAAGCTAGGTGCTAAGCAACTCAGTGAAACCCTGTCTCTCTTTTTTTATTGTGGTGCTGGGGATTAGAACCTAGGGCCTTGTGCATGCAGGGCAAGCACTCTACCAACTGAGCCATATCCCCAGCCCAAGACCCTGTCTTTAAATAAAATATAAAATAGGGCTGGGCATGTGGCTCAGTGGTCGAGTGCTCCTGAGTTCAATGCCTGGTACCCACCCACCCCCCAAAAAAATATAGCTAAAACAAAGTAGAAGTATAGTATTGCATTTTGGAAAAAGTATTTATTTAAAAGAAAATGCTAATTCTCTTGTCAGGGAACAGTTGAGGCTTTGAACAAATCACCTATAGTTTGCTTATGGTTTATAAATTTGGATCTAAGCACACATTGTTCATTTTTTAATGTTTTGGGTTATATTGTACTTATTTATTAGACTGAGAGACAATAAGTTCACTAAACTAACTATTTTACATTTTCATTTAAACTAGAGTCTGGTAATAAAATTGCACCAGGAACCATGAGTGCTGAGGAAGCCACGAAAATTTTGGCAGAGAAACGCCGTCTTGCTCGTGAACAAAAAGACAAAAAAGAAGAAGAGAGACTCCAGAAAGAAATGGAACCAAGGTCAGCACAAAATCATCATCCTTTCTATACTAGTCTAGGCTGGGGCCCCAATTTTGAAATATTACCCACAAGTTATAATTTCTCAAAAATTGAATTTTTCTTCAGCAAGGATCAAAATTTCCTTGTTACCTTCTAACCAAGTGAGTGGCTGAACATAGAGGACCTCTCTGTCCCTTTTAATCTCCATATATTGTGTGCCATTAGGTTGTGCTACTGTATAAAAAGACCAAACTCATGCCCAGAGTTCCCATCTCTAAGCACAGTAGCACTTGAGTGATCACATGACATTTATATTTGTATTTTCTGGTGTCAGGCCCTTTAAGACTTGTAACTTCAGTATTTGTAAACCTGGAAATTATACATACTCTTGTTTCACTTTGGGTACTTTCCAAAGACCTTTGTGATACCTGAATCTCATCTGGCCAGTGAGTCACTGCTTGTAGGATGTCTTGTGGGCAGCAAACCTCATATACAGCTATATGCCTCAGAACTTGAAAAGAAAGGTTCCTTGCTCTTCCATTTATGGACCCATTTTAAGTTGAGCCCTGTAATGTAAACCTCTGTCCACTGCCTGCAAGGAATACCTACAGCACTGGCTTTATTTTCTTTGCAATATAATTTTACATGTTCTGTGCAATATAATTTCACACTTTCCATAAACTTTATATGGGCTCAGAGAAAGAGGAGAAAGGGGATATTGTGAATATTAACAAATTATAAGTGGAAGAATATTATCACCTAATGTAAACATGGCTAATTTAGCATTTGAAAGCGCTGGATACTGGGGCACCACTAGACCATCCTCTACATTACCCAGGTGAGATTGGGTGTAAGCATGTGTAAATAAGGACTTTGGGGAGTGCCACAGTCTGGCTGGGCACAAAATCACGAGCCACCACACAGCTTGTAGATTCAAACAGCAACTCTTTATTCCCGAACTCACACCAGCCGTCAAATCCACCATCCCGAACTCAAATCCACCCCCACTGGGCTTCTGTCTCCCAAAAAATACTGTCTGAATCCCGTGAGAACTCAAGGGGAACTCAGGCAGCAGGATATACCCTATTCCCAGCAGGAATAACCTTAAACCTGGAACCACCCTAAACCCCGGATAGTCCTAAACCGGGAACGCCCTAAACCCGGATTATCCTAAACCGGGAACACCCTAAACCCAGATCCGCCCTGGTCCTTGAGCAAGGTCACCTTAGATGCAATGTCACTGCAAAATGTCCTATTTTCACGAGTCCTTCCACTAAGCAACATAGGGTACGCTGGCAAGGAAATTGTCATACCTACTTGGCTAATGGCTCCCAGCAGGGGAGGATCTCTAAAACAGTTCAGGAGTAATTCTTTTCTGTTTTGCAGGTGTGCATGTGTATGCACAGTTTTTAAGATTCAAAGTAGTCCAGTACTTGAGAGAAGTCCTTTTCTACTCACAGGCTAGTTCCCCCACTTTTTAAAAAAAGGGTGAAATTGTGTAAATTTTGTGTAGTAACAACACAGTAAATGTAGTGAATATGGTGCAAATGTAAACTGTATTAGTGTGGGAGCAATTTCATTATAAAAGGTTGCATACTACTGCAAGCTGTATATGGTAGCAACTAAGATAAATACTAAGAATTATTTGAATACTCTTGTTTTCCTAGGAAAGTGGCAGATGTGAGAGAGAAGGTGGACAAAGGCCAAGCAGAAGAGCTCTCAAAATGTGAAGATGGGCAAGAACAAGAAAACGAGATTAAAAAGAACAAAGGATGTCAGCATCAAGACCAGGAAGTACTACTACAGGTTTACTGGCTTAACATTTTAGCAGCAATTAAGAACCAGCTAATAAAATTTAGTTGAAACTCACAGCAGGGCTGGGAATGTGGCTCAGTGGTAGGGTACTTGCGTAGCATGTATGAGACTCTGGGTTCCATCCCCAACACCACCAAAAAAAAAAAAAAAAAAGGCAGCAATCTTTGTTTCTTATTTTTGGTACCAGGGATTGAACACAGGGATGCTTAACCACTGAGCCACATCCCCAGCCCAACAGTGAGACCCTGTTACTTAGAGCCTTGCCATTGCTGAGGCTGGCTTTGAACTCACGATCCTCCTGCCTCAGCCTCCTGAGCCGCCAGGATGATAGGCTTGCTCCACCATGCCCAGCTGACATCTGTCTGTAAGGAGATGTAGCATTCCCTGTGGCACTTTAACATTACAGTTTCACTATAACCCATTACCACTGCAGGTCATCTTCAGCCATCCTTGGCAAAGTCCCCAAGTTTCTCAAGGGCAGCTAAAAAAAAGCAGAAAACAGTATATTATAGATTAGTAGTCCTTTAGTTTAAAATCCAAACTGCTTGCTCAGATTAGATATCCCAGGTTGGTTTTCCCCAATTTTGCTTTCTGTGGTAACACTAATGGCATTCACAGCTGCACCCAACACCTCCCACACCAGGCAAAGTTCAAAATCAGATTCACCAGTAAGAATATATCACCCTTCTAAATTCAAGCCACTAGGAAACTAAATTCCTGAACTGAGCTCAGACTATACTCAGTTTGAATTATTACCATAGTCTAATTTCTAGTCCCAATTTTAGTGTGTGATTCATCAAATTTGGTAACATGTAAATTCCATAAATGATTGTGTGTGCTTGCATTTCTCTAGAAGGAACCTTTGTGGATTCTCTCATGACACTGGGAGAAATATGACTTTTCACTCTTGTTGCTATGTTAATGGATAGCTCCATAGTCACCTACGTAGTTTTAAAGTAAGATGATGTGATGTTCATAATGATACTCTTGACATCCTGAGCCTTCCAGATAACATTTCACCTAGTTCTGTGTATTCTAACTAATGGTTTGAAAACTGATAATCCATGACTGGTCATAGATAGGAGTGCTCAGTCAAGAGATTACAACAGTTGACTTTTTAAATGTGCTATCATATATTGAAATTAAATGATATTTTTACACACTTTTTCTAGAAAGGGGATGCCAAAATAAAAGCTCAGGAAGAAGCTGATAAACGCAAGAAGGAGCAGGAGAGAATTATGTTACAAAATTTACAAGAAAGATTAGAGAGAAAAAAGGTAAGTGTTTTCTGTTTTGGGGTGTTTGATTGTGTTAAACACAATTGAGTGGCATTTTTGAAAATCACAAGTCAGGTGTGTATTAACATCTGGCTTTTTTCCCACTATACTCTCCTCTTCCTTATCCAAGGAGCTGGTTTATATATAGAAGGTTTTTCCTCTTCATTACCACTTCCCCAAGAACCCTTGGTAATGATTACAGCATTGCCACAATATAGCAAACCTGTGGGAACACAGCTCCTTTGAACAGAATGACTAGTCATGGTACGGGTTGTCAAAAGTTAGAGTTCTAAACTGGCTAGCATTTGCAGTAACTATCATGGGAAGAAGTGCAGGCATCTTTGAGAGGCCAAGGTGCAGGCCATTTGTAAGGGTGAGCCACATGTTATGCAACTCACATGGCTCATCTGGGAGCCCCAACCTGGGCTGAGGTGTGCAGGACCTCCCTGTCCATAAATCATGAGGCACCCTGAGTTGGCCAGGGAGTCACAGTTCTCCTCACCTTATGCATGGTAGAGAATTCTTTTTTGTTAAGATAGATACAATATTTTGTTTATTTTTATGTGGTGCTGAGGATTGAACCCAGTGCCTCAAATGTGCTGAGCTATATATAACCCAGCCCCGTGCATGGTAGGGAATTCTTAACCCTCCCTAAAATATACTTCTTGTCAGCCTCCTGTCTATTTTTAGTAACGAGATCTGTTGACAGTGCCATGACTGAGGTGCATTATCTTCATTTAGCCTCAGGAAAGGTCCGTGAAGACTAAAATCCTACTAAAAACTCCAATTTGTCTGCAATAAAATATGCTTACTCTAATTAATGTCTATGTGAAAATAGAAGTAAGAAATTGTCATTTGGGTATCTATGTTGTAATAAAAAGTACAACTGTCACCATTCATGGCATATTATAGCTGAAACCAGTTCAGAAGAACAGGGAGGCCAGCTGTCCTGCCATGTCTTTTGTGGGTGAAATCTATGGTTTTGGAGCATACATTGTGTGCCATTGTCCGCCTGTGTAAAATGGAGATAATCAACTGCTTCAGGACCACTGGTTTTTAATCTCTTTTCATGTTTGACTTTTTGTTTTCCTTTTAATAGAGAATTGAGGAAATAATGAAGCGGACAAGAAAGACAGATGTGAACATCACAAAGGTAGTCTCCATTCTACTGCCAGCAGTATATAAGAATTCCTCTTAAAAAAATAAAAATCATTGAACACCTATATTTAAAAAAAAAAGAAAGAATGCCTCTTACTTCCCATCCTTGCCAACTTTTGCCTTTTTGCTGATCTTATGGCCATGGTATAAAGTATCAAGTTTACATTTCCCTGATCATTACAGAGGTTGAACATGTTTTCCTGTCTTTAATTAGCTTTCATGTTTTCTCTCATGTGAAATGCTTTATAGGTCTTTTTACCTAAACCTTTTGGTTGTTTTGTCTTTTTCTTGCTCTTTAAATCTCCTAGATATTGCTGCTTTTTTGGTTGTGTGTTGTAGATATCCTCACCCTCCAAATGGTTTGGCTTCTCTAATTGTCATCTTCTGCTAGGTAGAAGCTCCTAATGTCATTGCTGTTGAATTTATCAATACTTTCTGATGACTAATGAGGTCAAGTGCTTTTTGATATGCTTCCTGACCATTTTGAGATTCCCTTTGTTGACATGTCTTTTCAAGTCATTTGCCCATTTTCCTATTTTGTCACTTGCCTTTGTAGGAGTTTTTGCCTACCCCAGTGAGGAGTTCTTTAGATATATGTACTGCAGGGAGCTTCTCCCATGCTGGTTTGCCTCACATAATATTAGTTTAGTGGACCAGATGTTCTTCAATTTAGCAAACTCCAGTTTTTCTCCCCTTTATGGTGGAAAGTTTCTGTGTCTGTTGCATCATTATTTGCTTCCCCCAACAGTGTGTCTTTTGATTGAGCACATGCCTTTTTCCTAGATTCTGTGCTGCTCTTTATATCCTGTGTTACAAAACTTATATTTTGCCTTTTTACAATTGTTCAGTTATAGTCGTTTATACTATGAAGCCACCCTGTCTTTGGTAAAATTCTAAGCAGAGATGATGAATACCAGTTCAAGGCTGTAGTGTCTGTTCTTGCTCAGGGAAATCTTTAATTCTTGAGGGTCTTTCTCTAGCTGAAAGACACAACAAGGGCAACCTGCCCCTGTCCCCATTCTTTGGACCACTTAATGTTGTTAGAATTTTTTTTTACCGTGTAGTTGAAGTATTGAAAGTTAGCCATCAATCCAGTCTTGATATCTAAATTCTCTTAAATTCTAAGCCAGAATGATTGAATATTAGATATAATATTGATTTTCTTTTTTGACCATAGGCCTCAGAAATATCTGGCAGTAATACATCTGAAGAGGATGAAGCTGATGATGAGGATGAGACAGAAAGTGATGAGGACTCCCTTGATACAATGTTCCCATCAGGTTTGTTTGTGCCTAATGTTCTGTTAGTTGCCATGTAGGAGCTGGACTGCCTTGGTTTATATTTAAGGGCTCTGTCACATCTGAGCTTTGTGGCCTTGGGCAAGTCATTTAACCTCTCTGTGCCCAGCTTTACCATCTGCAAGAGGGAGAGATAATGTCTCTTTACCAGGGTTGGGCATGAGATTTCAGTGAGATAAATCTGAGTAATACTAAGAATAGCAGCTAACTGTCAATAAATATTTGCCACTGCTTCTTAATTTTACACTTTATGCTATTAGATTGTAGGTGGTAGCTCTTTCTCAGTAGAATATGAGGACTGTTGACATAGCTTAGAGCCTCAGAAGGCAGCTGTGATTAACTCTAGGTGGGATTCGACTTTCTAACTTATAAGGAAAAATTGAAATTGTGTCATGATGCTCATACCCTCTTGAAATATATTGGTGACTCCCTCCAAGTAGGAAATACTTCATAGTAATGGGCATTTGAGAAAACACTATTGATCCATATTTATCCTGAAAGCAGACATTGAACAGGTAAGCAAGGTACTCTCAAGGTACTGAAAAGCCTTGGGGAGATAGACACCTGAACAGAGAGTGGTTACTACCACACAAGGACTGGGTTCAAAGAAGTCAGGTGAGAGTGCAGCCAGTGTATGGCATTAGGACAGAAGCCTTGGGTCAGCTGGAAGGAGGAGAGCCCACAGGAGAGTCCAGTGTGAGAAGTAGCATTTGGGGGCAAGACAAACTCAGGGCCAGCCTGTTCTAGATGAATGCCAGGTGTGAGTAGCAAGAAGTAGCCCTACCCACTGGTCCACCAGTTTTTCAGGGCACAGGACAGGTTCCTTAAAGGTGGCCCCTTTGTGCATGGAGGGCAGGGTGAGTGCAGGTACTGGGCAGCACTGACTGTAGCTCAAGCACCACAAGCAGCTGGGGGTGGTAGGCCTGGCTCCCCAGAGTGTTACCTGCCTGATGCCCTCTGTGTCAGGCACCCGCATCTCCTCAGGATTGCAGCTTTGTCTTTTTCTTGTGTTGTTTGAAACTCCAGTTTTAATTTTGTTCCTTTCTCTTCCCTAGCCAATGGAAATGGCAGAGAGTCACCTAACAAGCCCAAAATGCCTTATAAAAATGCCAAGAAAATGCCTCAGAAACTGATGTTTTTACAAGCCACAACTGGTGAGACCGATAAAGAAAAGAAATCATATTTTAATGGTGATCTGAAACCTTTCAGGCAAAAAACCCTGAAAGAGTCTTCGACTCAAGCAAAAGGCTTAAAGTAAGTCACTTTGCATCCTATTTATCTGAATAAACTTGGGGGGATTATGATTGACCTTCTTAGAATGCCAAGCAACATTATTTCTTGAGCTCTTAGTTTGCACATGCCAAACACTCAACTTTACAGAAATAAGCTAAGCCCCACTATAACCTTGCTTGGTAAGGAGCCTCCTCCTGATTAGACAACCAAACTGAGGTGCAGTGAGCTAAGGGGATTTCTTCAACATCCCACTGCTAAAGGGCAGAGCCCAAACTGCTTTTCTTTACACAATGACTGTTGTTTCATAAAATCAGAGAAGGGGCTATTTATTGAATGCCTGTTGTAACCAGGCCTTTTACATGGCCTACTTTAATTCTCACAGTACTTGTGAGATTGGTAATAATATCCTCATTTTTTAGATGGGGAACCAAGTTAGAGGTTAGTTTCTTGGAAAGGAATAGTAGTTGGGTGATTACCTGAAAAGATGTTTAAGCTATAAGGGCCTGTGGAAACACAAGGCTACTAAGAGGCTCAGAAACAGTTGAAAAGAGCTCTAGAGTTACAAATCCTGCTCTGGTTCTCTAACTGTGCCATAGTGGACATTTCCCTTGACCAACTTGAAGGAGGGGGACTGGGTTCCTATGTGTTTATCTGCTCCCTAAGTCCTGGTACCTCTGTGGCACTGTAGGGCTTTCAAGAATGCAATTTGAAAAGCAGTGTGTGATCCCCTGGTCCCTTCCAGCCTTTCCATGCTAGGATTCAGGAAGTTCATTAATACCCAAAGCATTGCTTAGAAGTTAACTAAAAAATAATGCTTTTTTCAGGGTACAGGCTTGGTTTTGGAACTATCTGGACCTTGTTTTGTTTTGTTTGTACCAGGGATTGAACCCAAGAGCACTTAACCACTGAGCCACATCCCCAGCCCTTTTTTTATATTTTATTTAGAGACAGGGTTTTGCAGAGTTGCTTAAGGCCTCACTAAGTTGCTGAGGCTGGCTTTGAACTCACAAAGGCCTCAGCCTTCCTAAGCTGCTGGGATTATAGGGGTGTGCCACTGGGCCTGGTACTATCTGGATCTTAACCAAAACATCTCTCTCCAGGTCATCTACCAAAAGATCATCTACACGCACAGCAAAAACTGGAAAAGCAAAGGAACTCAGCACCACCACCCAATCCATCCCGAATGTCAGCACACCTCAGGAGCAGACTTATGGCAAAATTGACAGTAGTAGTCACAACACTGAATCACCAGACACAAACGTCACCCCTGATAGCCACAAACAAAATTTGAAGGATTCTGTGACATCCCACCCAAATCCTCAGATGCCTACAGACCATAAGAAAAAAAGCCAATCTGTGCCTACTATTTCCAGTAAGGCCTCATCCCATCTCTGCTTTGCTCCAAAGGCAGATGACCTTGAACCCTCTCCTACTTCTAGCAGTAGGGCATTATTTGGAGGAGAGGAAGAAGATGGTGTTGAGTCTGCAGGAATACTTTAGAAGAGTCTTCCATTAAGTTAGTTTTGAGAGAGTAGATGGCTTGCTTCTAATTTTTATGTCCTGCATTTCCTGTCAGATACAAAAAACTAAGTTCTTTTCAAGATCCAGATTCCTCAGAGCTCTTGATCCACCAGCAACTTGACAAGAACATAATTTTCCTTTAGGTCAGAGGTCCAGGAAGGTCTTTGGAATTAGTCCCTCATCCTCTGTTTCCAAAACCAAGAGACCCCAAAAGACCATTGTTTCTCTTGAGAAGCTCTCTTAGAAATCAAGTGAGGCAGTGTGGGCTCCTTTGGGGATCTAGGAAGAGGGGAACATTTTAAGGGCCCCAGTGTGTCAGTCTATGGGGTCCTAGGCCCACCCCAAAAGGAGGCCAGGGACAAATTGCCATGAGACCACCAGCATCTTCTCTACTGGTCTTTCTTTCCTTTTCCCTCTGCTTAGATACATAAACCTCGTACAGCCTAGAAGATTGATCTGTCCTCCACTCTGGATAACTCCCAGGCCTATGCCTCAGAATTCACCTGCTTCATACTTGAACCTGGCAAAGGAAATGACCATTAAAACAAAAAAGAAAGGATACATCCGAAGGTCACCCTGACATCTGTCTTGGAAGGTGTTCATATCATTTTTTTCTCTTGTGAGAGTTCTGAGTTAAAAAGAAATGCTTTGGTTTCCCTTAAAAAATCATAATTGTCTTTTGTGTGTATCTCCATGTGTGTTGGAGTGTGTATATCCAGGGTGCTTTCATTAGGTGATAACTATTGAGTTTCTAAAAGAACTCTATTAAAGGAACAATGTTCTTTCAGCATGTATTAGAAGTCTTAATGATTCTTGTTTGACAATGACATCAATTTAACTACTAGAAAATTTGATTTTGTGGAGAACTTGATAGAAGATGTGAGGCACTCAGGATTGCTGGCAAAAGCTATCAGATTGTCTCTAATATACAAATGCCAAAGGCTGCATGATATAGTAAAATTTGAGCATAATATATGCATATTTCAGTTCTTCTATTGTCAGTGCCCGGCATTGATACCCACAAATGCTAGCAGTCTTGGAAAGCATAAACTTGGAGCATTCAGCATCTCTCACACTCCTGTCAGTGTTTCCTTTGAAGTACGTATTGGGGCTTATCTACCAAAAGATGGGTTATATTTGTTGTGTCCATAAAGCAGTACTTGGCCATTGTCTCGGGGTATGTTTAATTCCTCTAAATGTTGAATATTTATCATCTTTTTCTGTTTGTGTTCCCTAGTTCTGTCCATCAGTATAGGCTTGGGATATGTAACCAAAATATACTTGCCTTTCTCTAGGCACTGGCTGCAGGTGAGGACAGCAGCAGTGTTATTCTTCAGTTCCCGTGATAGGCACACAGATGTACGTACACATACGTACATACGTACACACATAGGCTATATGATTCCATAAAACTTGAATGCAGATTCCTTGTCCTCATGGTAATGAGCTTTTAGTGTTGAATCACAAATAGTTTGAAGCAGGCCTGTGTTCCTTTTGGCCACCAGTCTTGAATTAGTCAACGAAGGTAATGATTCTTTCTGATTGCCTGGTTCATTGCTACACAGAGTACTGTACCTTTGTTATAGATTAGGCAGGATGCCTTAGGTTTAAAACTATTTTTATACACTAGCTTTTTTGTATAAAAGGCAGAGACAATCATCTTAAAATATGAAATGCTATTTTTCTGCACAAATATCACATGCTGAAACATTGTTACCGTTCCCTGTAACTCTGATCTGTATGAAATAAACTTCACAGATAAAGCAATTTTTGTTTTCATTATAATGGCAAAAAATGTACTGGTACTGGTCATACCAAGTTGTTAATTAAACTATGAACACAAGGAACCAGCAAGGTCAAGAACTAGTAATCAGATCTTCTGCTTTCCCTCTTCATCTAGTTGGTGATTAGACAGAGTTACACTTCTAGGACAGTAAGAACTCTTCTTCCAACTCTTAACTTCTTCCTACAACTCTTAGGATGCTACTTGTTGCTCTTCCTGTGATGGCTTGCACTTATTATCAAGGCCCATTGTTAAAATCTCTTTATTGTAAAAATCATAATCTAACAGTCACCATTTTCTTTTCTTTCTCTTTGAGATGGGGTCTCCCTCTGTTGCTCAGGCTGGCCTCAAACTCCTGGGCTCAAACAGTCCTCAGCCTCCTGAGTAGCTGGGGCAGCAGGTGCATACCACTACATCCAACGAAAAGTCATTGTTGTAATTGAAGTGTACATTCACAAGGTTGTGTAGGCGTCCCCACTATCTAGTTCCAGAACATTTCAGAAGAGATATCTATTCCCCTGGCCTTTTAAATCTTGAATCCTTGAATTCATTGCTTGACTCAGAAGAGGAAACCTATCTCTACATTTCTTAATTTCTTAATTCTTTCTTTTGCTCACTTTTTTTGTTTGATTGATTGATGGATTGATTTTTGGTACTGAGGATTGAACCCAGGGAACCAGGGGCACTTACTTAACCACTGAACCACATTCCCAGTATTTTTTTATTTAGAGACAGGGTCTCACTGAGTTGCTTAGGGCCTCACTAAGTTCCTGAGGCTCGCTTTGAACTCACAATCCTCTTGCCTCAACCTCCGAAACCCTTGGGATTATAGGTTTGTGCCACCACACCTGCTTGCTTGTTTTTTAAAGTCTATACTCAGGCAGTTTGTGTGCTATTTTATATGTACATTTTCTTCATTACATTACTGTTAACTGTGAATGATAAAGCAAATATTCTGATATACCCACAGATGTTTAGTTTGAACCTTTTTTGGGGGAGGGGTAACCAGGGATTGAGTTTAGGGGCACTCGACCACTGAGCGACATCCCCAGCCCTATTTGTATTTTATTTAGAGACAGAGTCTCATTGAGTTGCTTAGGGCCTTGCTTTTGCTGAGGCTGGCTTTGAACTCATGATCCTCCTGCCTCATCCTCCTGAGCCACTGGGATTACAGGCATGTGCCACATCCGGCTGTTTAATGAACTTGCTTTCCTCCACTAAGTTTTTTGAAAAGGCCAGGTACTTGTTATCCCAGGTATTTGGGGTCTGGCAGTTATGTAGCCATTCCCCACTGGCCTTTCAAGAGCATTCTATGTACATTTGAATCAACACAAGCAGACACATCCCATTCCTGCCAAAGGTACCACCTCCATGTATTTATCTGAGGAGTTCTTCACTGCCAAGTCAGGTACCAAGTACTGTTGCTTCATCTGTTGGAACTGCTGAACCAGAGTGTTCTTTTTACCACTCCAAGGTAACAGAATCCCTAGCCTTCCTGCTTATCCCCTCATGTTTCCCTCCCTCTATAGCTTTTAGATGCCCTCTCCCTGAGACACAGATCTCTGGCCACTACCAGGTTTTACAGATGAGCACATTTCTTACATCACTGTTATCATGGGCACTGCATGTAGAATGAAGCTTTACACAGCTTCAGTGCCTAGAAAACCCAGCAGTGCAATATGGGATCCTGTCAGTGCTCCACAGTACCCTGAAGACCTGAATCCTAGCCACAAGGATTTGTGTGTGTGTGACTTTGTGCACACTGCCTCTCCTCTCTGAGCCCTGTTCCTTGTCTATCAAATGAAGGGGGCTCTGGGCCCTTTTGGTTCTATAATTCTGACATTCCTAAATGCCACTCATTCTGGTCGGGGCCAGAACATCAGGAGATATGAAACAGGAGTTACTGCCAAGGAGCCAGAGGTGGAAGGCAAACTGTCCATCACTTAATCTTATCAGGGGTCAATTCCCTGTTGTTACTTTTAGTGCCCCACCCCTGGCCTGGTTTGTTTAAGCAAAACATCTCCCTTCCCAGCAGTCCAGTTAGTGTTTCCAGATGGGTCCTAGCTGCTCCTCTACTTCTCCAATTCTGTGGTATAGTGGTGGTCAGCTCTCCATGTACCATATGCCAGCTCTTTAGAGACATCATTTTAAATCCTCACAAAACCCTATGAGGTGTGGTATTCATTTTTACCTACAGAACATTGCCATTTATACAGGTCGGCATTTTTTCCAGGTTGCACAACTAGAAAGAGGAAGAGCTGGTATTTGAATTTAAGTTTCTCCAACTCTGAAGACACCCCCATACTGCTATGGGAGTAAAATTGTCTTTTGGCTTACAAGGTAGGTCAGGGACACCAGAGCAGTGTCTTTGGTGCTGGGGAGAAAATTTTTGCTAACATTGATTACATTTACTGGATGCCAGTCACCCCACTCATTAAGCACTCATAATCATGTCATCTGCATGTGATTTGGCAAAGTAGGAGTCTCATTTTAAAGGTGAAAAACAACAAGCTCAGAGAGGTTAGGGAACTGCCAAAGATCTCATCGCTAAGAGATGGCAGAGCAGCCAAGATTTGAACAGGCAGCCTGGCTCCCGACACCATCCTATTAGCCATAGTTGGCCTGTTTTGAGATTCTGATCCCCTTTGAGGATGAAAATGCTTCTTTATTGACAACGTGGTAAGTAGAAATTTACCCTCATTCCTCCTGAGCCTTACAGTTGTTGCTTTTTCAACACACACAATTGCCTTCTAAAGTATTGAGCATAGTGCATGGTAGTTTCCTTATTGTGATGCATTCCTTTTTATGACAATGCAGTGTCACCATTGATAAACTAGAGGGTGTGGCTTGTCAGGCAAGCTTCTCAACCCATCTGAACCTCCATTTTCTCATCTAGAAAATGGAAACCATGGACCTAGCATGGGCTGGAGGAGCAGATCCAAAATGTATGAGGTATTTGCTTCTGAAGATGTTTAAGTACTAAGTGCTGAGCAATTGCTGAAGGCAGACACTTGATAGGCCTCCATGTCTTAGGTGAAGAAGGTGGTGGGGGCAATCTGTTGGGAATGTGGCCAAGTAGTGGAGTGGCTGTATTAGGAATGTTAGGCAATGTGGCTGTTCCTCAGTAGAACTCAGGCCACTAACTCAGGTTTTGTGGACTGGGGGTGAAGGTAACAGAATGGAGGCAAGAAAAGAATGATTGAGGTGCTGGGAGCAATCTAGGACAGATTTGGAGGGGAAGTAAGGGTAGGAAAACAGAGGAGTTTAGAGCAATGAGCAGACTATAGAGGCCAAGGAACCAGCAAGGTGAGTACCGGTTTCCAGAAGGACAGGAGTTCTGGGTAAAGGAGGGTGAGCTTGGGTGTGGAAAGGCCCATCGCCTGGCCCAAGTGGACCTTGCAGAAGTGGAGATCACTGGGGTGCTGTCATGGGCTCTCCTGGGGAAAAGGGCATAAGCCAGGTTCCAAGTATTCAGGGAAGGGAGTGGCTTGTCTGTCCCAGGCCCATCTCCTTTGGGTTTTTTTTTTTTTTCCTTGCTGTAGTTTCAAGAACCTGCTCCCTTGAGAAGCAGAGAGAACAGCTGCTCTCCACTCCCTAATCCACCATCCCTGCTCCCTGGTGTCCCCAGAAGACTGGACAGACTCTCTGTTGGTTTAAAGGTTTTGATATCGAATTTGATCTAGAGAAACACAAGGGGATGTTCCATGTTCTTAAAAACATTCATGGTCATGCAAGGCCCATGTTCAATCTCTAGCACCAAAAACCAAAACAAAAACCCCAGTGGTTTTTGACAGGTTTCTATCCTCTTCTGAGATGGTAAATGTTAGCTACTAAGGGATTCTGCCCTAGCCATGGAGCCCATCAAAACCTAACACCCTCTCATCCCTCCAACTCTGCCTCTTAGCTGAAGTGCAATGAAGAGATGCCCTTAGGGCCTGTTAGACCCTTCCATGCCAGAAGGCAGGCACAGTAGCTTTCTGATGCCCTGGGACTCCTGAACTATACAGAACCCACCACAAGGGTGTGGGTGGGATGTGTGAACCGCTTATGTCAGTGTGTGGTGATCTGAAAGCTATAGCAACTGGGGAGCTGTATGCTGGACCAGCCTCTTCCTCTGCCCACACTTCTTCTAGCCCCCCAGTCCTAACAAGAGACATGGGCCCAAACCTCATGGAGGAAACTGGGTCTCATTAAAGTAGATGGCAGAGATTATGCAGTTGGGCTACAGTAGTGCTCAGCATGGATCATGGCCTCCAGAGGGCCCAAGAGGAAAGGAGCCAAGAGGAAGATCCTTCTGAAACAATCAGGGACCATGATTACTTCTCAGTGACATGCCTCATCTGGGATTGCCCCCCCACCCCACTCACACCACCCTGGCCAAATAGAATCAACTCATCCTTTTTAAGAGATGCAAACCTGGGGCATGCTATTTTGGGGTCAGAGTGGTCACTAGGTTTTATTTTTTAACTAGATCAAAGTGGCATTATAGGCTTGTTTATAATCTATGTTCAGAGTAATTGCACTGAGCTGAGGAAAATCTCTCAGAAGAAGTTACTTGGATTTCTAGTTTAGTACTATCAGGTTATAGTGCTTCCTCTGTGCAGAATTGAAAGACAGGAGGCAAGTTCTTTCTATGCTGCTTTATTTCTGTAAGGATACACTGAAACGTTAGATGATAATATCTAATGACAAAATGTAGAAATGAGGCATTGGCTTCTATAACCACTTCTACAAGAATGTTAATATGTATTGTCATTACATTTTACTTTTGATATTGTCTCATTATACTATGTAATATAATAATGAAGAATACAGTAAGTAGGTGATCCTGCATTTCAGGGAAGCAGGAGGTGGAAATCTGGTTCCGCTGGTAAGGACGGTGGCCTCCCCACTCCCCCAGAGATCCAGCTAAACTCTTAAGGAAAAGTCTTAGTAATCACAAGAGAAGGGACTTTGCAGTCCTCTTGAACACACGGACAAAGAGCAGACAACTACTATGTTACAAGGAATTCAACTTGTCACGGTTTTGAAATGTCACAACCACACTGATGACAGCCCTGGCGCCTGCTCAGCTACCCCTCTAGAGTTTTATAGTCACTTTTGTAGGATGACTCTCAAAACTGAAAGTATGTCTGAGGGGGCTCAAATATTGTCATGCAAGTTTCCAAACCCATAAACTATTTTACTATTAATTAAAACAAAAATATCATTAATTAAAAAATATAAAAAGGACAGCAGGGTTAGTTTTGATAAGCTTCCATACGTACTCGCTGTGACACTGTTGCTCTGAAACAGGCTCGTTTTCTCAGGCCTGTTTACACTTCCCAAATCACCTGTATGTTCCATGTTTTAAAGTAGGAACACTCAGAAAACATGCCACACCAGGAAATCCAATGTTAGTATGGGGAAAGGTCAGGTGAGAATTACCATTAAGTTCAAATGTTAATTTTCTGGAAATTCTTGTTAGTCAAGTGAAAGCACAAAAGAACAGAAGTCAGAATTTTGATGAAAAAGTTACACCATGCATTCCAGCAAGTTCTTTTTCTGCTCACAGAATAGAGTGAGCAGTGAGTTGGAGCAGCCGCTGCAACTCTTGCATGTCATGTCACTACATGGTGGGTCCCAGCTGAGCCACAAAAGATAACTCAGTGGGGGCTTTATCACGTATGCTTCTTGCTTACATCACGAAGGAGCTAAATGGTTAGCACTTTTCTGCTCTATGATAAACATGCAGAAGAGTCAATCTATCTAAGTTTTTGTTTTTCTGTTTTGGTTTTTTTTTTTTGTTGTTTTTTTTGTTTTTGTTTTGTTTTGTTTTTTCATTGCAGCCATAGAGTAATGAGCTTTGCTGCAAGGTTGCTTTTTGCTAAATCCTAACATGATCACTGTGTGCCCTTATGTGACAAATACTGTAAAATGGGAGAAAAGACAGAAGGAGCAACTTTAAAGAGGTGAAAGGCCACTCTTCCCCTACAGATGGTGTTGGGCAGAGAGGGCAAGGACACAAAGAACATGATGCAAATTCCATTTTACAGGACAGGGGCCCCTGTCGATTTACAACTTTTTGGCACAGTCAGGGCAATACACTTGCTCCCCATGAAAAACAAAGCGCTTGTTGGCAAGATTCACGGAGCATTTTTTGCAGTGGAAGCAGTAGTCGTGCCAGGATTGTCCTTCATAGGCCACCACACTGGAGCCTTTACCAAACCCTGTGGAAAAACAAAAGAAAACGAGACAGACAGCTGAATGAATACAGGTGAGGAAGCTGCGGTTCAGAGATAAAATGATGACTTGCCCCATTCACAGAGCTGACAAGCACGCAGAGTCAGTGTCTGTCCTGCTCCCAGCCCCCCACCACTCCACCGCGCACTGGCCCCACGCCGCTGCAACCCTGCTACGGCTCTCAAGGACCTGAGAAAATGCCGGAGCTCAGCCAAAGGCTTTCCTGATTTAAAGAACCCACATTCCCATGCCACTGCTATCGCCCTGTGACGCGCACCGCACCGGACCTCCCAGCATAATCAGTTTCTTTTGATTTAGGTCAGGGCCATGGCATCAAAGTGGCCACCAGGAGGCAAACTTGGGCTGTTTGTGGGGTGTGCACTTACCGGGCCTCGAGGAGCTGCTAAGCTTCGATTTTTTCTATAAAGAACCACCACCCACGAGGGACAAGTCCTCTCTCCACCCGGATGCCTGCCCCGGAGGTTGGCGCTGGGAAACAGGGTGAGAGGCAAGCGTTTCCCGTGGCACACTGGGGGCTTCCTAGCTTTAGAGACTGGGTGGCTCACTCTTGACACAGTCCTTTTCCCTGAGGATGGCAAAAGTCTTCTCAAATGTACATTTCAAGGCTCCCCCGGGAGATGGGATAATTGGAGGCAGGGGAAAGGGCCCGGGGCACGTGGATCGCGGCCGCGAGATGAGGAATGAAGTGATTAGCTTTGCTTCTGATCGCAAAAAAATAAAAAAATAAAAAAAAAATAAAAAAATAAACCCTGCCAGCAGGTACCTCTGCGCTAGCCTTCAACTATGGGGTGTCCCCATCCCAGGTTATTACTCCGGCCTCCCTGGTCCTCCCCCCCCCCCCTCCCCCGACCCCCCCCCGCCCCCCCCCCCCCCCCCCCCCCCATGGTCTCAGGCTTGTGAACTCCTGGCATGGTTAGCTATTCAGCAGTATTCAGGAAGTGTTCTGTATTGCAAATGCTAACCTGACCTGGGGGAGAATCCAAACTATTGTGGGACCTTTGGGAGCATAGTGGCAGGGGCAGAAGGGCATTCTTTGGGGCCTTTGTGGATGAAACCGACGACATAGGAAAATGAGAGATGGTTACCATGCGTAAAACCTAGCCTGGCAGACTTAGCAAGGACTCTTTAGCCTACCAGTGATGGGGTTCTTGCATCCAGCACACTTCTTGGCCACAAAGTTCTTGTAGCAATCCACGCAGTAATACTGGTCCTCCACAGCGGTGAAACGCTGCCCAGCCAGCTTCTTAGAGCAGGTAACACACACAAAGCACTCGGCATGCCAGGGCTGATCCTGGTAAGTGATTCCTCCAGTTGTGATGGCCTAGACCAGGGGGTGTAGCACCGGATTCAGATTCAACAACCATTTTGTTGAATGACTACAACATGCCAGGCACTGTGCTGGGCGCTTTGGTATACATAATCTCCTTCAATCTTCACAACAGCCATGGGAGGCAGGTGCTATTATTATCCCCAATTTACAGATGAAGACACCAAGGCCCAGAGAAGGCAAGCCCCTCTGTGAGATTCCACAACAATTAAGCAGCAAAAGCAGGCCTCTGGAGCCAGGGCTTCCCTGGCTCAGAGCACAGTGCCAGCCGCCGTGCCACACCACCACAGTGAGTGCACACACGGGGAGCCTGACTTGGTCATGGCACTATTTTCTCATCCCACAGTCTCCTCATCTGCAAAATGGGCATAATAATTCCTACGTCACAGGGCTGTCGTGAGGATGGAATGGGATAGTGTGTGTGCAAGTGCTCGCAAACTGTGAAACACTTCTAGAAACAAAGGTCAGTGCAGAATTCCCTTGACGACATACCTTCTTGCACTTGACGCAGTGCTTGGCAAACTTGGTCTCATGGCAAGTCACGCAGTAGAAGTCTTCCCCTTTAGGGAAGAAGCTTCCAGTCCCGATGACTTGCTTGCAGCTGCCGCAAGTGAAGCAGTCCTTGTGCCAGACGGTTCCCTTGTACTCCACATTCTGGTCTCCTGCAGGGAGAAGCAACCGGATAGCCCCACTGACAGGCACTGCAGGGGGCTGCATCCACTCATCTCCCCTCCTCTGGGCCCTACAGAGGTGAGGGGATGCAGGCCCTGCAGTCACTGGCCTCACGCCTCCAACTAGCCTACTGGTGTGCTACTTGCAGTTGTGCCAACCCAGGATTTTGTCATGAGTAGGGACCCCAGCAGTATTAATTTAGGATGAGATGCCTGAATGCCCAGTCCCCCGCCTCTACCCCCTACATGGACTTAGAGGTTCAACAGGGGGCTGCCACATCCAGAATTACACCCCAGAAAGAAACATGCTTTGATCACTTACTACACCCAAATGAGAAAGCGCTACATACTTTTCACTTCATTCTCTTGCCACAAGCTGTTCTTGCCAGTGTTCTTTAGTCTCCGAGTGTGTGCGTGTGTGCGAGCATATATGTGTACGCATATATACGTGTATGTATATGTGTACATATATATGCTAAAATCTCAAAGCAGCTCACAGCAACGTTAGCCCCACCGTGACAAGCAAGCCCGAATCACGCCTGCCCTCAGGGCCTCCTCCCTGGCAGCCCAGGGTGGGAGAGAGATAGTACCTGCCACAATGGCCTTGAAGCACCCTTTGCACTTGGGGGAGTCCTCCCGAGTGACACACTTGTTGCAAAAGATCTTGCTCTCCTTGGACACGAAGGTCTCATTGGCCAAGGGGTGAAGGCACTTGGCACACCGGAAGCAGGTGTCGTGCCAGTAGCGGTTCTTGTAGTGCACCTCCTAGAAACAAAGCAGAGTGGGGCAGGCCACTGTGAGGGGTGTCAGGGGCAATGGAAGCAGCCTCCTATCAAGGCCACTTTCCCCAGGACTGACTGACTACTGAGATGCTGCAGTCCCCTATGCCTTGGGGATGCCCTGGGGTAAGTATTCGTTTCAGTAGCAAGAGAAACACTGAGGTGAGGATGAAAACCTCACATTTCCTGAAATACAGAGGATGCAGGTTGAGCAGTCCTAATCACAGAATCTGAAATTCAAAATGCTCCAAAATCTGAAACTTTTTGAGAGATAACACGATGCCTCAAGTGGAAAATTCCATGCCTGACTTCATTTGCCGGGGGGCGTCAAAACCCAGGCACACGGCACAGTTTATTCAGTGACCCCAAGGGGAAGAAAGATCTTCAGAGCCCCTTCCTCTGCAATGCACACAGTAAGCTGCATGTACACAATTATTTAAAAATTTGTATAAAATTACCTTCAGGTTATGTGTGCAGGATGTATATGAAATTTTGTATCTAGACTTGGGTCCCATCCCCAAGATACTCATCATGGGTATATAAACATGGGTATGTAAATATTCTAAAATCCAAAAAATATCTAAACTCTGAAACACTTCTGCTCCCAAGCATTTCAGATAAGGGAGACTCAACCTGTACAACCAAAAGAGCTAGCAAGGGCCTTGGCATCCCTCTAGTCCAAGGCACATTTTAAACATCTCAGGACACCAGGAACAGTCTCAGGGACTGGAGAGGCCATCTCAAGGTCTCAAGATGGCTACCCTTGATGAGAACTCACAAAGAAAGCTATTGTCACAGCTGCAGGAAAAGTACACTCCAAAGCCCAATCTGTCCTGCTCACACATGGGGATGATCATTACCTTGGAGTCAGCACCAATGGGCTTGCGGCATTCCACACAGGTGTTGGCGCAGAACTTGTCAAAACACTTTAGGCAGCAGTTGTGGCCATCCTTCTCCACGTACTTCTTCCCCTGCAAGGGGTCCCTGCAGTAGTGGCAGTCGAACTTCTCAGCCATAGTGCCCACCCTATAGCTGGAGGGACCTGTGGAGGCAAGCCAGCAGAACAAATGACCAATGGAAGAGCTAGGGCACTCTACAGAAGAGGGTCCTAGAAACATCTGTGCACTACTGTGTGACCAATAAAACCCTCTGAGTCCGTGGGATCTGGGGACCAAGGCCCAGCTTCCTCTGGGAACCGGAGCCCAGCTTCCACTGGAGACTGACTGGCCATCTGGTGCCAAGGCAGCAGATACTTCACTATGATTCCCAAGAAGAAAGTGCTCTGAGTGGAACTCCCCTGAGTGCCAGAGGCCAAGGGCCAGCAACTCCCTGGGGAGATGGCAGAAATCCCTGCTGGGACATACCACTATGCTGACTCTCATAGGAAACTGAGGAGGATAAGGGGATCAGAGCTTCTGCTGGCTGGGATTACCACACAGGGATTTTGGAAGATGAGATCATAGTGAGCAGTGAATCTGAGAGATTGAGGAGTGTGATGGAGCAGAGAGGAGGAAGAAATAGTTTCACACAAAAAAGAGAAGCAGGCATACTATGTGCACACAGCAGCTTCTTGGGGGAGATGCCTACACTGGCAGCCCGGTCCACAGGAGGAGACAGGGGCCAGGCCCTATGCTCCAAGGACTGCCCTGGTTACCATATTACAAGACAGAAGCCTCCCTGCCAGCTGTTGCCCCTTTCCCCATCACTTTCTAGGTAGAAAAAAGTATTCTCTGCAGGCCTTACTATCTTCCTATCTGTCCAATTCTATTTGTCGTGAACAATACTTAACTGCTAACTCTGTACCATACTAGGTACAGAAGTTCCTCAAGAATTCATTTTAATTTACTTGAAATCTGGCAGAAATGTTTGTAGTCCCTGAATAGATCCCTAAAACTTTTACCCCTGACAGCTTACTGACTTTTGAGGCCTGAGCAATAGGGCCACAAAGTATTTATCAAAATGGCATTCTTGAGAGGCACCAGCATGTTTCGCAACTGAATAATTTTGTCATAGTGATATGTGGTTTTGTGACATACCAAAATCAAATCCCCTATGGTCAAGCAAGTGAGAATCAGTATATTCACTAAAGTATATTCACCAATTGGGACAACTGCTGTTTAAAACACTGCAAGTTTAAAATACAATGTGGAAAAAATGACTTTTTACAAAGGTTTTAGCTGATTATTCCAAGAATCTCAGAAGTCCCTTCTCATGAACAGCCTCCACTTATTCCCCCAGCCCTGCCATGGCCAGCCCGTAGCCCTAGACAACAGGCCAGAACAATCCTGAGCACTTCCAAGGCCTTTTGTGGCCCCTTTGCCAAATCATTTTCTAAGGAATTTTGTGCCCAGGAAAGTACCAAATTATAAGTTTCTATTAGCTCTCAATTTATTTACACATATGCTAATTTTTCCTCTCCTTCTGAAAAAAGAAATCTGTACAAGTAAATCAAGAGCAATTATCTAATCTATGCAAGGAACAGTAGAACTCAGAGTATTTTATTTCAAACTATCCACATACATGGTTATCAAGCATCCCAAGTATAATTTAAATAGAAAGGAAGGAAAATAAATGAGCAGTTGCCTGCTACTCACCGCAGCTCTCCCATCAACTGAATGGCCCCAGACTCCCACTTTGGGTTCCATTCCCAGGTTTTTTTTTTATACAACCACATGTCCAAGTTGTTTGGATCATGTTGCCAGTGGCAACCAAACAGCAGAGAGTGAGCTAAGGAAACCACACCCTGTGTCTGGGAACCAGCCTGGGTCCAGGCTGTTGAACTCTCACTCAGACCCCAGTAAGTCTCTGCAGCCAACCTCCAAACAAGGGAAACTGGGTCACTGAACACACACAACACCTTCTGCCTCATAGGGACATACATCCAGGCCCCCTCATCTCCAGAGAGCTGGCATGCGAAGTAAATGAGTGACATTCTTGTGTAAGGACAGTTGCTTGGACAGGTGTGTCACAGTGAAAAGACAAGAGAATGGTTCTTACTTACATATTTCCCTAAAAGGAATATGGAGACATTCCCTTGTGTGACTGGATTAGAAACAAAATGTACACACACAGTGAACCCAGGGCCAATCTCCTTGAACTATGCATTGTTTATGTAAGACAGCTGTTCAACTGTCTGTGGCTCCATGCCTAGAGACAAAAGTACCTGTCACTGTGACAGCATGTGGAAAAATCACTCTCCCTCATCCACTCTCATTGGTCTTTCCCATGTCATGAGATTCTTGTCTTCCCTTTGCCACATTGAAACTGTGCTCTCAACAAAGATTTGCTTTCTTGTTAAGAAGCTGACTAGTGAGACCAAATAAATCTCCAGTATGAGTAAATGCCAGGAAATTAAATTATCAGTGGCTCCTAGGTGCCATTTGGCAGAAAAACAGATTTTGTAAGATTAGCCAGCAATGGCTTCCTACACGGCTAGGAAGCATGACTGGGCTCGCCTTTCAGAGACTATCTTCTTGGACTATATCTGAAAGTCCCTCTTGCTCCCTTACTGACGCCTCTATTAAGAATACAACTTTGAACCTGCTCATTTTAGACTCTTTTAATGTCTATCAAAACAGAAATTGGATTCCAAACATTTCTACATTAAGGTACCATGCACAACCCCACTTAAGGGGAGTCCTACCTTTTGGTAATTTCAGAATCCTAGCTTTATGGTATATAAGTATCAGCATCATACAATAGAAAAAGAAATGCTAGGTGCTGGGGTTGTGGCTCAGCGGTTGAGTGCTCGCCTTGTACATGCAAGACCCTGGGTTTGATCCTCAGCACCACATAAAAATAAATGAATAAAATAAAGGTATAAAAAAGAAAAAAAAATCTTTTTAAAAAAGAAAAATAAATGCTAAAAAACAAAGAATTTCATTTAGAGTTATCTAGAAGTTTTCAAGAGAAGGAAAACTGCAATAGGAGTCACAACACCAAAGATATAACTGCCAAGCCTTTCTCACTTTAAAAGCAAATGCTTTCTGTATTATTCCCAGTGCCAAGGTCTTCAGTGCTTACTTTCATAGTTTTAGAACACAACTCACTCAGTTTCTAGGCACCCCAATGATGAAATAATCCATGGCTCACCAATGAACAAGGAAGTACAAAAATGTGTTGAAAACATCAGTCAAGGAAGCACAGTATTATTCCTATATAACAGGGTCTTAAACCAATCAAAAGTAACAATAAACGAGTCAATCTCAAGTTAAAGATAAGAGGAGCCTCATTTGTTGGCATTTTGAATCCTGGCTGTTCTCCAAGTGTGAGAAATTTAGGGTCATATGGCATAATGAATCTTAATATTATGTATAGTTATAATGCACCAATGGGAAAAAATAAGAAATCCAGGCTCACTTGATATTCCCACCAAACTCTGTATCCAGATAGACATAAAGATTTCCAAGGGCATAATTTAGAATTCATTTTGACAGTTGTCTTAAGTCATTTTTATGTGTGTGGAAACATTTATTAATCAAGATAAAACAGGCACTTCTAGGAATGTTGGCTTTATTGCCTAATAAGTAAGTAGCCTAGAAATACCTAAAGTATGTTACCAATGTCTATGTCAAATTCATGAACTTTAGTACTTTTTGTTTTTAAAAGAAATCTTAAGTAGAACTTTGGGAAACATGAATTAGCTTACCTCATGTATTTCTTTTTGATCATTTGGTATGAAATTATTTCAAACCCTCACACAACGAGTTTAGGGTGAATCTGAAGTAATAGCTATTCCTACTGGCAGGATAGCTACCACACTAAAACTTTCCATAAAGGAGGGGATAAAGTGTACAAGATCAAAATGTTTTGCTAGGAATTATCTTCAAAGGGGTCCACAACTCTAAGAACCCAGCTGATAAATGACAATGCTGACAGAAAAGTTCCTAAAGGACAGAATATCCCAAGTGGTGGGCACCATCAGTGTCTGGGACACAGTTCAGCTTTAGCTTCATAGAGAAAAGTCTGCACTCCCCCCCTCTTAGCCTTTATTAGACATGCTCAGAGAAGAAAGAAATACTATGATTACATTTCAGCTTTTCTTCAGGGCTCTATTTATTCTTATTCAATTGACAAATTCTTAGTTACTATTCTCTAGGGAATAATTTTTATCCCCTTAGCAATTTCTACATACGTGAAATGTGAAGCCTTTTAACTTTTTAGAAGGCAGTTAGAAATGTGGCTAGGTGATCAAATTTTAGATACCAATTCCAAAAATGGCAGGCTTTCTTTTTATCCTTCTTCTTTCAAAAGACACATCATTCTTCACTTTAAAATTTTTTCCTGAAGAGAAAAAATTTGTTATCTACATCCAACATGCTAAAAGGTGTCTACACAAACCTTAATATTGCAATAAAGTTTAAGATTTCAATTTAATCATGTATGTATATGAGTAATATAATATTGCAAATTTGGGGGGTTTTTTTACTATAAACCTCTCATTAGAAAAGCTCCAGTCTGTCTTTTATATGTATTTTCCCAGGTGTTTCTTACTAACATTTTTTTTCTTCTTGCGCAAGTGGCTCAAAATAAGACTATTGAAGGAAAAAGTGAGTATTATGACTAGGTAGTGTTTTTCTAACCATTCCTTTCCCTGAGTGCTATAATGTACAGTATCAACAATAAACAACAACCCAAATGGAAAAAAAATCAGGTTATTTCTGGTCTGTTGATGGCTAAGTCCAACATACCAGCACAACAGTGACTCCATGTATAAATAAATGTTGGCTTCCAGAGAACATTTGACAAATGGAAGGAGCCTCAGCTGATGAATAGGACACTTGTTGTCACAGACTTGCTAATGCACCTGGAAGTGTCATCAAACATTTGGGAATAAATACCCAAATAGCTACAAGGAGCTGGAGCTCGTGAGTCATGGCTGAAAAGTGATCTTTCATAGACTCTCACAGAAAAATCAGAAAGTATTTTTCCCTTAAAAACAACATGTACAGGGTGATTCTATATTATTAGTATGCTGCATTTACAAAAAAAAAATCCCCTTTGGGTCACCGATACCTAGAGAACACCATTTTAGATTGTATC